GAATAGGCAAATCCAGAGTCAGAAAGAAGGGTAGTGGTTTTAGGGGTTGGGGGAGTGGAGAGGGACTGCCAGTGGGCACTGGGTTTCTCTTTGGGGTGGTGATGTGTTCTACAATTAGGTGGTGGTGATCGTTGCACAACTCTGTGAATATAGAAAAAGCCATTGCACTGGACACTTTAAAAAGCTTTTATAGTAAAAAAAAAAAACAAACAAAACTATAATCTAGCAAATTAAGGGCTGTGTCCATAGTTCTCTTCACCCAAATTCACCATTTTTAAGGTTGAGTAAGTGGTATAAAAAAATGTAGTTAATTATTTCTTTCTGATTATGGAAGGAATATCAAACCTGTTGCTGTCGAGTCGATTCCGACTCAGCGACCCTATAGGACAGAGTAGAACTGTCCCATAGGGTTTCCAAGGAGCAGCTGGTGGATTCGAACTGCTTACCTTTTGGTTAACAGCCGAACTCTTAACCACTGTACCACCAGGGCTCCACAGAAGGAGTAGATAGTGTTAAATATTCAAGTAAATAAAAGCTTATCAATACAGAAATGTCCAGTAGAGAAATTTCTCATAATCTTAGTCTCTTTAGATGTGATGACTGAACTCGATCAAGTGTGTATCTTTGCAGACCTGTTTCTAAACACGTGTGAGCCATTAAGTCCCTTACTGGAATGTTTACAAAAAAGATGGGATCATGGTATACACGCTATTTTACAGCTTTTTTTTTTTTCATTTGGTGTGTATCTTTGGACATCTTTCTGTATCAGTATACAATTTTTTTTTATTTTTTGCCTATTTTATAATATACTGTATCTTTTTTGCCTGTTTTATAATATATTGTATGTGTGTACTACCAAAATTCATCAATTCTGAGACGCATATTTTTTCATAGTTTATCATTTCTGAAGTGGAGATGCATCTTAGAATCTATGGCCTGTCAGACTTGAGTTGGTAGTGTTTTTTCTTAGACAAAATAACTATATTTTATAATTACTGGAATCTTAGATTTGGTGAGTATGGTATAATATCACCTACTGATGGGCATTCTTTTTCCTGGTTTTGCCATCACAGATGACACTGCAGGAAGTCCATGTTTATTTTTCTGTAGGGTTATGTTCCTACAACTGAAAATACTTGTCAGTTTTAATAGGTTTTGCCAAAGTTTGTTCTTAAAAGTTTCTATCAGTTTACATTTCTGCGTAGAGTGGATGAGAGGGCTTTTTTTCTCAACTCTTGTCAACACTGGGCATTCTCAGTCTTCTAAATATTAATCTGATTTGCAAAAGTACAGTCTTGTTTTAAACTGCATTTTTTAAAAACTGAGTGAGGTTAAGTGTCTCTTCACATGTTTATTGTCATTTTGTATTTCTTCGGCAAATTGCCTACTGTAAAAACAGCTTAGGGGCAGCGTCTGACCTCCTAACTTCACAAAGGGTAAGAAGAATCAAGATCGACCGTCCTTTGAGGGGCAAGTCAGACATGCCTCCTCTCTCTGCCATCTTTACCTTAAGTTCTGACACCAGCTGTCCCTCCCACAGCACTCTCTGCTTCTCTGCTGGGTTCGATAATTCATTACAGTGGCCACACAGACCTCACAGATGGTACTCACAGTTAGGGGGTTTATTAGAGAGGTAGCAGTTACAGTCCAGGTGCAGGAACACTCAGGATACAGTTCTTCCATCAGGACAGCCTCTTTTCAGCCATGCTCGCAGGCACACCTCTCCCTTGCCCTGGGCCTCTGCCTAAAGGCGCTCAGCTTTCTCTCTCCCTAGGCTGGGAAGCCCACCACGCTGGGTCTCTGCTGCCTTCAGTGTTAAGCTCTCTGTCTCCTGTCCAGGAGCTTCTCAGCGCAGGGATCCTGGGTCTAAAGGACACAGTGGCTCCTGGCTGTTCTTTGGTGGTTGTGGGATTCTCTGTCTCACCTCTGGGGTGGCTCATTTCAAGCCCAGCGGGATGGCAGAGCTGACCAGTCCCTTCGGTGGGCCACAGTTACCTTATCACACAGTCCCACCCAGTCGCTCGGGTGAGAGTTACAAGACCGTGATCAGAAAAGGCCGTGCAAAAGTGATCATCATGCTGCACCTACATGTTCTTGCACTTGTTGGTTTTCGTGTTGGTACAGTGAGAAGGTTGTACTAAGTATCCCATCTTTCTTTGTCTTAAAAGTCTATGAATTTGCTAATTCTGTATTATTAAGCATCAGTATGTTTGCATACTTTGCTTTAAGCAACTTTATATTTCTTGATACTTTTGTTTCAGATTTTTGTTGCTTGGTGAAGTTGTTTTTAAACACGTTCTCTAGGCTTTTTGCTGTGAAGTCCACTTAAACTTCTTGTATTCACACACAAATTGTTTGCTCTTAATCTTTAACTTACTCTGTACTACAGATACTTATAACTATTAAAGCAAGTTAATAAGGCATAAATACAGAGGATGAAGATGTGATAAATTTGGAGTTTTAGGAATTAGAGTTCTGTTTAGGATTTGGTGTCAGACAAGCCTGTGTTTGTCTTCTCGTCCAGCCTCTGCCCTTAATTAGCAGAGTGACCACGAGCAAGTTACTTAACCCCGAGTTCTCCGTTTCTCTATCTTTGTCATGGAAATAATAGTTACCTCACAGGATTATGATGATGAAACCCTGGCATTTAGTAAGTGCTTAGTAACTCATTCCCCTTTAGATGTAGCAACTAATTAGTGATTGAACCAAAAGAACTCCCATAATTTTTTTGTATACTTGAAGCTACCACCATTTACACTTGATTATTTAGCCTCGAAATCTTGGAGTATATCTGAATGCATTTCTATATGAATGTTAAAATTCAAATCCATCCTTTTCCTCCCTTGGAATGTATGCATCACCGTCTGTTTTAAAAAGTGTTCCAATGTATAGATACCCAAAAGTAGTAAATTTAGAGTAGTGTGTGCCCAGTTAGGGTTGTACTTCTATGGTAACTAGCTTTAACATGCAATTTCTACATGAGCCATGAGAGAGATACAGATAAAAACTACAGTGGGATACCATTTCACTCCTACTAGGATGGCTAAGATTAAAAAAACAGAAAACAACAAATGTAGGCGAGGATGTGGGGACATTGGAACCCTTACCCATCGCTGGTGGGAATGCACAATGGTACAGCCATTGTGGAAAACAGTGTGGCAGCTCCTCAGAAAACTAAAAATAGAACTACCTTGTGACTCAGCAATTCCACTCCTAGGTATAGACCCAAAAGACTTGAAAGCAGAGACCCAAACAGAGACTTGAACACCAGTGTTCATTGCAGCACTGTTCACAACAGCCAAAAGGTGGAAACAACTTAAATGCCCATCAGCGGACAAATGGATAAACAAAATGTGGTACTTAGATACAACGGAATGCTACTCAGCCAGTAGGAGAAATGAAGTCTCAGTACATATACAGAATGGATGAAGCTTAAAGACATTGTGCTAAGTGAAATAAGTCAATCACAAAAGGACAAGTATTGTTCAACCTCTCACTTACATGAAAAGACAAGAACAGGCAAATGTATAGAGACCAAATTTTCTTAGTGGTTACCAGGGACAGGAGGGAGGGGGAAAGAGTGGGATCATTACTTATGGAGTACTGCGTTTCAGTTTACGGTGATGGAAAACTTGCATTGATTAAGTGTAGGGTTGCACAGCTGATTAACGTAATTGCTGTCAATAAGTTGTACACCTATAAAAAGTTGAATTGGCAAAAGTCGTGAAGTAGATATATTTATAACAACCAAAAAAGAAAAAGAGTAGCTGCTGAAGCTGTTTATGTACAACCAGGCACTTCACGGGATCTGGTTCCTTGGTTTGGAGATTTAGGATCATGGTTTCCTGGGACATGGCAGTTAATTGGCCTGATGACATGTTTAGTGCTTCTGTTCTACCTCCTGGTTCGTTGCATAGTGCCTGGGGTCCTAAAAGCTTGCAGGCGGCCACATTGAAGGCACGACAATTGGTCTCTATTCTCCTGGAACAAGAGAGGAAGGGGGACAGTCAGAAACAGGAGGAGGGAATGCAATGTGTGGCTAACTGTCCCCATGAACAACTTCTCCCTTTGCCATGAGACGGGAAGGATGGGATGGTGCACGGCTACCACTGCTGAACATTTTGATTATAGACTCTGTAGAAGAATCCTGAGGAAAAGGGGTAAAATTTAGAACAGAATTTCAAATTCTGATGGAATCCACATTTTTTGGAATCATGGAGGCTGGATGAACCCCTGAAACTGTTGCCCTCCGATAATCTTTAAACCTTAAACCAAAAATAATCCCTGAAGTCTTTTTAAAACCAGACTAGCTAAAGTAGTTAAAAAAAAAGAAAGTCTGCCTTGAGCATTATGCTCTTTTAAGAACTACCTGTATGGGATCCATTGACAACAGCAACTCGGAAGACTAGATAGGAACCTTGGGGGCAGTGAGTTTCGTTAATGGGGGAGGAACAATTCGGCAAAGGCGGGCGAGAAGGGTTGTGCAGCTTGAGTGTAATCAGTGTCACTGGGTTCTACATGTAGAAATTGCTGAATTGCTGTATGTTCTGCTGTGTGTATTCTCAGCAACCACAAAAATAAAAAATTCTTTAAATGCAATTTTTAGAAATGTATAGAAAGGCAGGGATAAACCTGAGTTATGTTTATACTTGAATCTCTATAACTACCATATGACATACTCTAAAGAGCAAAAATTATGTCTTTATATATTAGAAGTATAATGTCACTTGATAATATAACATGTTTCTTGAATAAATAAAAAAGGCGTCGTAGGTGGTTTGATATTTTTCTTGATGGTTAGATTGCAGGGGTGATATTTTTCATCCAGCGTAATGTATTTTAGAGAATTTTTTAGAAGTCTTCCTCTACTAATATTTTGAGATTTTAAAATAGGCATGAAATAACTTTTGGATCTTTTCTTTTAAAGATAGCATTTGAAAGAATGAATAAGTCTTTAACATCATAGGAATAGGCATTTAATGAAATCTGTTGCCTTGCAGCCAAATTTGTATCCCACCGTGGGGCTGCAGACGCCAGGAGAAGTAGTTGACGCCAACTTTGGGCAGCATCCTTTTGTGTTTGACATCGAGGACTACATGCGCGAGTGGAGAACCAAAATCCAGGCCCAGATAGACCGGTTTCCTGTCGGAGATCGAGAAGGGGAATGGCAGACCATGATACAAAAGTAAGAGTGAAGACGTTTGAGTTGATAACTACTTAACAAGTCTGTTTTTTATAAAACGTTCTTTTCTTTTGGTATTCTTGGAAGCTTTTTAATCTACTAATTTAAATCCTAGTAATTTTCATGTATTAATGTAATGATTATGTATTAATCTCTCTACAGACATTTACTCTATTTTAAAAAATTAAAAATAATGTTTGATTTGGAGGTACACATACAGAATTGTATTTCAGTCTGACTTACTAATTTGATGGAGGAGATAAAATGACACTAGGTTGCTTAGGTTAGGTTAATTCATTTGCCATCATTAGTAATAGGATTGTGTGGTTTCTGTAGGTTACGTGATTTAGCTTTTAATGTTGATGAAAAAAATAAATTCAGAGAGATTGTCTCGATTTCATAATTCAAGCTCTGTGATTTTTGCACAGAAACTTGGCTGTGAAGTCCCGCAGTAGTTCAGATATTTGTGGGGACACTTGTTTGGTGAGAGTAAGCATCACAATAATGGTGTATGTTATATATTGGAATACAGGCTTGCCACGTACATTTTGGGTTTCAGAATTTGCCAGTGAGTAGGTTACTCTCTAAGAATGTCAGCTTTTCCTTTCCTTGTTGTTAGTTGCCGACGGAGTCATTTCCAAGTCACGGCATCCCCAGTGTGCAGAGTAGAACTGCTCTGTAGGATTTCAAGGCTGTGTGGTCTCTTGGAAACAAATCACCAGGCCTGTCTTCCAGGGCACCTCTGGGCATGTTGGAACTGCCAGCCTTTTGGTTATTAGTTGAGCACTTAACCGTTTGTGCCACTCAGGGACTTCCGTTTAGTAGGATCTCCTTTTTGCTAAATATTTACACATTTAGCATGTAGATTCAGGGAGATTATAATTGCCTTCATTCTGAATAAGAATATCTGACCCAAAGCCTTTGCTTAAGGAATTTTAAAAAATATTACTAATTAATTTTAATGCCGCTTACTTGTATGTGGTATTATTAGACTTTTAAGAGAAAGTAAAAGCAATGAAGATCAAGGAGCAGCGACTGTGGAGGTAGGATTCCTAAATGCAGGATAAATACTTAGGATTCAGTCAGAATGGTGGCGGATGGCCAGCAGCAGAGCGGAAAATTTGGGTCAAATAAAAGTACTGTAAAATTAAAAGTACTACAAACTAAAATTACCTCAATTCCTAACTTACCAAAATTTTTCGTCCTGTTTTATCGGGGAACTTTTTCTTCTTTTCTTTTTTCTTTAAAGTAGAATTTCATTATAGAAGCCAGCAGAGAGAGAATTTCTATGACCATCAGCTGTTTAGACTATACCTTTACTGAAAGGCAAAGTCATTAGTACTAAGTGGTAACTCTTAAAGCTTGAAACAGTATAGACTTAAAAAATAAATAAATATCATTAAGTTTTACAAGTCGTCCTCGCTATTGCAGACTAACCCAAGAAAATAGCAAAGGCTTTCAGATACCATCAGTCCAACACAATCCATCTTAAATGTCTGTATGATTGCTTCTAATGTTCTTCAATTTAAAAATCTAATACAAATAACATTTTGTATATTTTTTTGGAGGAAAAGGTGATTGGGAAGACATGATGAGTCTGAAAACATGCTTCTTCCCTAGAGTTATTATTATCTAGAGCCTTGACACTAATATCTTTGTCCAGCACAACAGGAAGAATAGAGAACCCCTGCTCAGAATCTCCTAGTTATCGTGAGTTAGAGCTAGGATGGCTTACTCTTCTGGGGTCACATCCCTTTAATACTCTGAAAATGGTTGCCATGGAGCACCGTGGCAGGACAGTGGTAGAGGAAACATTAATTTATCTTACTCCTGTTGCTGGCGTTCAGTGAGAACCCCCTTCCGCCCCTGCACTGTCTGCCACAACATTGGTACTCATGGCGATTTCCCAGGAGGTCATTCTCGAAGGCTCATCCCCACCCCTCACCCCTTTAACTTAATTTGAACAATTGGATGAAATAAAATGAAAAACCTGTTTCTTAAAGGTTTTTCCCCTTCCCCTTCTCCTCCTCCACACTCCTCTACCCCTCCTCCCTCTTACCATTTTCTGAGCGGAGGTGCCTTAGGTCCTTAGTGGTGCCAGCTGGGTCAGAGTTGGACATTTGGATATATTGGAATTTGGGTTAGATATGGTTGGCTCAGTAGTTTATCTAACTACATTTTGTGTTTTGACCACTTGGTGGCTTTTTAAAAAATAAACTTGTCCTCTGGAAGTTACGTGCTACTTACATGTACTACATGTACCATCATATTTGAGTACTTAACCTTCTGTGTAAAACCATGCTAATTGATTTAGATTAGAAGACTGACTCTTCATTGGTTAGTATTATTACCCTCATAGATTTTGCTCTGGAAAGTCTCTCTGGGTTCACCTTAGTATTTCTTTTGCTCACACCTTACGGTCCCATCTCATTTGGGTGGTAAAGAAAGTACTTGAACAATGGAATACAAAGGTAAATCTGTTCTTTTCTAATTGTTTTATTTTACAAAATGCCAACATTTTACTGGGATAACCCATGTTAAGAGTGAAGCAGAAATGGTGGTTAGTGGGATTCAACATAAGGACAGGGAATGAACAGAAGAGGAAGTAGATGGGACGCCAAGAATCAAAGACAGGGCCGTTTAAGGCTCTGGTTCTCTAGTAGTGTTTATTTTAGAGGGAAGCAGTCTCAACACAGCTTTTGAAATATCTTTGAAAAGATTACATGAATAGAACAAAGAGAAATTGTGGACTTACTTTAAAGTTGAGCTTCTTAAACCCTTAATTGTTTCAAGGAAATAGGTTGATTTTGTAACACCAGAGTAGACCTTGTTTATGTAAATTGTAGGATACAGAGTGTGTTTGTTTGACTAAAAATGTGTTTTTTCTTTTTATTTTAAGAATGGTTTCATCCTACTTAGTCCACCATGGGTACTGTGCCACAGCAGAGGCCTTTGCCAGATCTACAGACCAGACTGTCCTAGAAGAATTAGCTTCCATTAAGAATAGACAAAGTAAGGATGATGTGGTGCATGGCTAACACTGGTTTTCAGATGATAAGTTTGGGTACTTCCATTTTCAGACTTTTTTTTTAATTAAAAAAAAAATTTTAAATACGTAAATTTAAATTTGATGCCTCTGAAATTGATTTTCATTTACACATTTGAAGATGACGTTTAAAAAAGTTCACAAAGAACTGTGTTAGAGTTCTGAATGTAGAAAGGTAATTGTTCTGGAGAAATTTTTGTAAGAAATATTTTTACCATTTTTTTTTCTTAAGTAAAAAATGTTTTCTTGTGCTTTCAGGAAGTAAATGTTTTATTTGTTTATTTTTTTAAGAGTAAAGTAGTTCTGATTAGATAGCAGAGATGACCAGTGAATGAAATTTAAATTGCCATCTAAATTTAAGATAGTATCGCTCGTTAGTATTCATTTCTTAGATGCTAATGCGAAATGTAGCACACTAACCCTTCCCTGCTCAGCCATCTTAGAATTGCTGCTGTTGGTCCATCAGGTGGGTCTGGCTTAATGAGAACGTACGGTAAAACAAAACATGAGGGGCGAAATCATGATGGATGAAAACAACTTTTGTGTAGGTGAGACTCCTAGCCCGACACTTAGTACATTGTGTTGGAGCTGATTATTTTATGAGCTCTGGGAACAGAGATGATCACGTCCCTCACTCCGTGTCCTCATCATCTAATCTGGCAAATGTTTGACACCCTGTGGATGTCTGTTGAATTCAGTTCTTACCCAAAGGCTAGCTTTCTTGTAGTTCAGAAGGTCATTTAGTTGATAAGATATTGTGAATATTATTTATTTATCAAAATAGTCTTTTTTAATCTCCGTGTTTGAAACTTCGATACTACTTAACAATTTTTTCCCCTGTATTACTGGTATGTTAGTTTGTGATCTTTTTTGATAGTTTGTGAAGGTACTTGTTACTCTAATATGTCTGAAATTTTTCCTGGATTCCGTAATTGAAACTATGATTTTAGAAAAAGAAATGGAAATTACAATAATTTATTTAAGAATTTCTTACTAACTCCCCCCTCCCCTGCTTTTTGAAGTTCTGCTGAGTTTATGTTTCTACTTTTTAAAAGTGAATTTTTTGCTTTTTTTCTGAATAGGAATTCAGAAATTGGTGTTAGCAGGAAGAATGGGAGAAGCCATTGAAACAACACAACAGTTATACCCAAGTTTACTTGAAAGAAATCCTAATCTCCTTTTCACATTAAAGTGAGTTTGTTTCATAAAATATGCTGTATTTGTTATAGACATATATTTATATAGATAGGTATGTAGAACCAAGCTAAGTTTCATGTTTAATAGGTTTTATTTTGGCTTTACCTTGTTGCGCAGTATTTTACATATAATTTTGTAATATAGCACATTTAATAACAGGTTATAAAACACTTGTGTTGAACCCTATAAGCAGATAGCATCCTTTGCTGTGTGTTTGTTCTTTATCATCCTGTCCATTTGTCTAAAATTTGAAAATCTTATTTGGAAAATGTGTATCTCCTTTTCCCCTAAAAGTCTTACAGTAAGTCTGTTTGGCATTTTTAAATGGTCTCTAATGAATCTTTGTTATTTTAAAAATCGGATGTTATTAAGCTTAAGATTTCAATTCTAAGCAGCGAAAATCCTCTGTAAGCCAAATGTCAGAATTGTTTTACTTGAGAGTAAAAGTTAAAATGAGGCCCATTTTGGTTAAGAGGTTGGGAACGGGGCTGGGTTGAAGAATGGAGGGGAGAAGGCTCTTGCTACCAAAAAGTACGAGGGTGTAAGTCAAAAAGTATTGCTACTGGGGTTCCCATTCATACATGCCTGGGTTTACTCCAAACAGAACGTGTCTAAACACGTCTCTGCGATCAGTGGATGTCTGCACACAGAGTCTCTCACTAATACACTTGGCTTAGTCTCGTAAGGGGGCCTTCAAAAAAAAGGGCATACTTTTTATGCCATGGAAAAAAATGATTTTGAGGTCAGGGCTAATATAAAATTTTTAACACAACCCCAGTGGATGTCTTCCCAAATCATTGAAGCTTTTTTATGTGGGAATGCTGCCCCACATAAAGCGACAGTTGTTAGACGGATCCAGCATTTTAAGGGAGGTCGGGAAGACCTCAAAGATGAACCGAGAGAGGAAACACTGCTCAGAAGGTTATGAGGACTGTTTCTTGGGGATCCCAAAGGGGTGCTCTTGATAGATTTTCTTGAAGGACACAGGACGATCATGGGTGCTTAGTATGAAGAAGTTTTAAGAAAATTGAAAACTGCATTGGTGAGAAAAAGGCCAGGAAAGTGGCACCAAGGATGAGCACCTGCTCGTTCTTCGAGGATAGCAAGGGCTGTCCTATGAGAATTTTGTTGGGAAACCTTATCCCATCCACCCTACAGCCCTGATCTTGCCCCTTCAGACTTCTTTTTGTTCCCAAAACTCAAAGAACATTTAAAAGGAACACGGTTTGAGTCCCTCAAGGATGCCAAAACTGCTGTTTTGACGTGGTGTAAATCGAAGAGCACAGAATTCTTCGGGGCAGGGTTAGAAAGAAGGAAAGAAACACTGCCTTCAGAAGTGTATAGACCTAGATGGAGGATATGTCGAGAAACAATAGCTTCACACTTTGATACTTTTGTTTAATAAAGGTTTCTGTGATTTTGTAGCAAAACTTTTTGACATAACTCTGGTGTATCATGTTTTTATGTACCATTTGATCTGCTACTGAGTTATTTTGTTTAAATTATTTTTAGCTGCAAAAACTTAAGCCCATTTTAATTTTCTCTATTATAGCTACATATAGAGTTTCATTTTCTCTGGTAAATCTTGATTAAGAAGCTAAAATTATTGTATCTTTTATATATACTCTCATTTTTCTGGAAATTTTACAATTAATTTTGATTAATACAGTATATGAAACAGTATTTAGTATTTTTAGCTTACTATTTAAAGAACAGACTTACTGATAAATACAAGTTCCTAAAATATTTCCGAAGCTTGCTGCTGTTAAATGAAACGAACGGGACGATTTGAAGATTACGTTAATGTTTCTTTTCTCTTTTAGAGTGCGTCAGTTTATAGAAATGGTGAATGGTACAGATAGCGAAGTACGATGTTTGGGAGGCCGAAGTCCAAAATCTCAGGACAGTTACCCTGTTAGTCCTCGACCTTTTAGTAGTCCAAGTGTGAGCCCCAGCCATGGAATGAATATTCACAATTTAGCATCAGGCAAAGGAAGTACTGCACATTTTTCTGGTGAGATTCAGTCCTACGACATAGCTGTCTTACAGATGTGTATACTTGGATGGTTTGGCTGAAAAATTGTAGGTGGTTCAGATTCCTCTGTTATCAGTATAAGCAGTAACTTAAAGAACAGCTGTTTCTGAAAGTCGGTTATTAGAAGATCTTCATAAATGAAAGTCTACACTGAAAATGAGTTGTCGCTAGAAATCAAATGATAGATGTTTGATAAGGAAAAGATAAGTGTGTGTTTTCATCAAGTATAAATGTAAAGGTGATTTGGCTGTGATACTTTATGGCACTGATCACCAGATCCATCTGGGCTGCCTGTCTGTCTGTCTCCCTTCTTTCCCAGCGAGGCTTCTTGCCAGAGTCTGCTCTCTACCTGTTCACTTTCTCCTGTCCTTTCTTGGCTCGCCACTCTTAACTCTCTGTGGCTCGTGGTTTTCTCTGGCTTAAAATCCTCTCCTTTCTTGGCTTTCGTGACATCAGTTCTCTGGGTTTATTTTAGCGCTGCTCAGTCTTTTCTTTGCTTATCTTTTTAATTCTGTGTTTCCCCAGATATTATCTCTGCTCTGTGTATTTGTCCTAAACAGAAGTCAAATGATGTTTCCTTTCCTTTCATAGAGTAATGTCCTTGCTGTTCAGTCACATGTGCCCTTTCTGCTTCACCACCTCTTAGCGTCCATCACCGTCCTGGACATGCGGGCTATTCTCATGTCTGTATCCTTAACCATCAGCCACCCCTCTTGAATATCATTCACCACTTCAGGCTTGGCTTGCCCAAAGCAACTCCTCATCTTTCTGCAGAACTTTTTTCCTGAAATTTTCCTATCTTAATTAGTTACACTACTGTCCATCCAGTCACCCAAAGCCAAAACACCTGGGAGTAATTGTAGCCCTTTGACTTCACTCTAACTCATCCACATCCTATCAGTGACACATCAGTTTTCCTTCTCTGTGTGGTTCACATCTCTTTCCTCTGCCGTAGTCCAAGACCATCACCTCTTCTTGACTGGGCAACTGTACTAACCACTTAACTGTTCTCCCTGTCTCTAGTCTGATCCCTTTCAATCATTTCTCCATGCTTATCCCGAGTCATCTTTTTAAAACTCAAATCTGGGAGTGGGGAGGGAAAAACACTAACTAGATAGTAGATAAATGGTAACTTTGGTGAAGGGTAAGACAATATGCAATACTGGGGAATTCGGCACAGCTTGACCAGGGCAAAGTCATAGAAGCTTCACAGACACAGCCAAATACCCTGAGACACTGGACTGAGGGCTGGGGACCATGGTCTTGGGGGACATCTAGCTCAGTTGGCATAACATAGTCTATAAAGAAAATGTTCTACATCTGACAGTAGTGAGTAGCGACAGGGGTCTTAAAAGCCTGTGAGCAGCCATCTAAGATCCCTCTACTGGTCCCATCCCAGCTGGAGCAAAGGAGAATGAAGAAGATGAAAGATATAAGGGGAAGATTAGTCCAAAGGACAATGGACCACAACTACCACAGCCTCCACCAGACTGAGCCCAGAACAACTAGATTGAGCCTGGTTATCACCACCGACTGCTCTGGCAGGGATCATAAGAGACAGTCCTAGACAGGGCGGGACAAAAATGTAGAACAAAATTTAAATTAAAAAAAAAAAAAAAGACCAGGTTTGCTGGTCTGACAGAGACTGGAGAAACCCCAAGAGTATGACCCCCGGACACCCTTTTAACTCAGTACTGAAGTCACTCTTGAGGTTCACCCTGCAGCCAAAGATTAGACAGGTCTTTAGGGTCAACAATAACACATGTGAGAGACGTGCTTCATAGTACAATTGTGTATACGAGACTGATGGGCACACCAGCCCAAAAGCAAAGCCAGGAAGGCAGGAAGGGACAGGAAAACTGGACAAATGGAAACAGGGAACCTGGGGTGGAGAAGGGGCGAGTGTTAACACATCACGGGGTTGGCAGCCAATGTCACAAAACAATTTGTGTATTCACTATTTAATGAGAAACTAATTTGCTCTGTAAACTTTCATCTAAATCGCAATGAAAAAAAAAAAAAAAAACCCTCAAATCTGAACATATGCTTTTGCTTACTGTCTCTTAATGACTTTCCACAAGTCTGAGTAAAATTCAGAGACCTTTGACATCAAAGGTCTTATCTCCATCTTGCACCTGGGTAATGCCAAGCTCTTTCCAGTCAGTGAAGGTATGTTGGGATGCTTCTGTGCTTTCACATATGTTATCTCTGTACATGGAATACCCCTTCTCCCTGCTCCACCTCACGTTTGGCTGTTAGTACTTTACGTGTGTGTGTCTTGTTGCTCGGGGATCGTTTGCATTCCTCCTAAAAAGAAGAGCAGTAACTGTTAGCTTTAATTCAGTAAATCATTGATAGTTAGCTGTGTGAGAAATTTCTAAAGTTGTTTTGAGCCTCAGTGTATTCGTAGGCGAAATGGGGATAATAATAATACTGTCCTCACAGGGGGATTAACTGTGAGATCCATAGTTAATCCTTCAGAAGGTGTTAGAGGAGATGATAATTATAGCTCAAAATTAAGGATTCTTAAATATCCTTTCAAAGAAGTTACTCTTTTGTTTACGGTTTAAGTAGTCTATTGATGCACCGACATTATAAAAGTCTTGAATAAAAGAAATCAAAGTACGAGGACATTATTTCCAGTCAAATCAATAAGTTAGGGTTTGTTTCTGTTTCCATGTGGTATCTTTTTTCTTCTTTTTTTAAGGTTTTGAAAGTTGTAGTAATGGCGTAATATCAAATAAAGCACACCAATCATACTGCCATAGTAAACACCAGTCGTCCAATTTGAATGTCCCAGAACTGAACAGTATAAATATGTCGAGATCACAGCAAGTTAATAACTTCACCAGGTAGGTGATTTCTCTAGCATTTGCATTAATGTCAGCATCCTAATTCTAGGTGTCGTTATTGTCAATCATTTTGAAAGAAATTAAGTTATATGCCTTATAGTGGGGATCTGGGAGTTCCCATGTCCCCAGAGAATAAATAAAAGGGTAAGAAATAAGTTCCCAAGGCTTTTCTGTGTCCCAGCATGCACGTGGGCTCTTGCCTTAATTCCATCCTCTGCGTCTATGTACTCTCTCCCCACTGATGGGGTCCTAGGGGCAGCTTCAGGGCTGTGTGCATTCTTGTCCTGCCAGCCACAGATCATGTACAGGTGGTCATGTAGATGCCATTGGTTCCGTTTCCAGGTGAAGTCTCATAGAATATCCAACCTCTAATGTTAATAAGACAATGTGTGTAATGGTTCTTTTCTCTCTGCGTGGGATTTTTTAGTGTAAATGGCATAGATGGTTTTCTGAATTCCAGATAACGTTACGAAGAGGCTTTTTTGAAAACCTTTCTCTCAGTAGCTTGCGTATAGCAGATGGTTCAGTCATTCAGTAGACATACTTTGAGAAGCTGTTGGGTGCCAAGTGTTCTGCTAGGCATTGGGGATACAAAGGTCGCTGACATAGTCTCTGACTTGGAAGAGCTTTAAGAAAGGTAATGTCTAACTGTGTACTACAGCCTTTGTCATACTTGGGTTTTAATTTTCATGAAACCTGAAGGTTCATGAAGTGTCATCATTTGAATCGAATACTAGTGTGCGCAAGCAGATTCTTGTGTTTGAGCCTATGCAGACCTCAGCGTTGTCATCTCCATTTGGCTCAGGCTTCATGAAATGATAACGTTTACGTTCATAAACATGGTGGATAGACTCAGCAATTTGGTGGTAGTTTGGCCGTCTGACATAAATTGGTTGGTGAAACTCTGCATTTTCGGGGAATGTTGTAGTCAGTACAGAATTTTCATACTGAAAGAGACAACCTTACTGAAAAATGGAAAAGGTAGATAATTTTTTATCATGGAGGCTTGATGAAAGTATGATTCTGGTGAAAGCATGTAAAAATACGTATTTGGAGATTAGTCGAAATTTCTAGGTTGTCTATCACAGATGACGAAAACCTGCGGAATGATGTCATATGACAGAGATGTAACGGAGATCCACAGCAGTGTCCCGAGAGTAACAGAAAAGCTTGCTGAGGAAGTCAGGGAGGTCTTCCCAATTAAAAATGATGTATTAGAAAATATGAAATTAGAATACTGTAATAAAAATTATGTATGGAAAACTTCAAAAGTTAAGCCCTTAGTACTTTAGAATGCTCATTTCATTGTTGATAGGGAGTTCTGCCATTGTTTACAGATAGGATTGCAGTCAGTTTATGGGTTTTTCTCTTAAATACTATACTCACGGGAGGAAGTTGCTAACGAGGCCTGTCGTTACCTGAGTTCAAGGAAACGGAAGGGATCCGTGATGCAGCATCCTCCTTTCTGTGCAGTACAGAAGGGAAGATAGTAAGCTGTAGGTGACCTGATCACCTTTGATTTTATACCTGATAATGGCTTTCCTTACAGCAAGATTGGGAAGTAGAGAAAGATGGTATTAACTATTAAAAACCATTTTACAGATGTAGAGCTGAATATCAGGAAAGTAAATGATTTCTTTTTTAAGGTCAGTAACTGGTAGCTTGTATGTTGCAGAGCTGAGACTGGTTCCTGGGATTCCTGACTTCTAAGTGTGTGTTTTTCCTTCTACCTCCCACCTTCTGAAACGCTCTTCTCCCTCTCTTCCCTACCCTCCTCACTAACTTCTGTTCAAGCTGCCAGACTCCATCCAAATGGCTCCTCTTCCAGGATGTGTCTCTTGATTCGCATCCCCACCAAACGATCTAGAGTGTATGTTGTGTGGCGGCTTGTGCTTCACTCCCATCGTAGTATTGATACTCTGTAACTTAGTAACTTAATGAGCCTTTTATAGGCTGTTAGCTGCTGGAGGACAAAGGCTGCGTTCAGTGTATCCTTAGCGCGCTTCACACCGCACGTGCCTCAGAGGCTCTTAGGTGTCTATTGAATGAATAAATGCCTCTGAAATACTACAGTGAATTGTCAAAAGAAGCTTTAGTGTTTTATTAAGATCATTAAAGCCCATGATCTTAAGGATCTCTGTTAAACCTTGTAGAAGTTTGGTTTTCTTACCAATTTCCAAAGGTTGTCAGGATGATAAACTAAGTTTTTCTGAATGAAGAAGTCTGATCTGGGCACCTAGGGCCACTGCCCTCTTCCCCCTGGAGTTGCTCTCTGTGTCTTTTGACCTGACAGATTTTAAATGTGAGGATGAATGCTAAAGCGTGAAGACTATTAAGGAAGGAATAGTCTAGAAGTGGGTTAAATATGAGGGCAAGAAAGAGGTGGAGCGGGTTCCAGGAGTGAGGTTCATTAGTTTCAGTGTAAGGCTTTCCCCTTACGTGCTGGAAATGGATTCTGGGGGGAGATGCTGGGGCAGGAGTTGATTCAGAGAACCAAGTGCAGATCTGGGTTTGGAAAGTAGTAGGACTGTTGTGCCAATGTGTAATTTCTCCAATTGATGTCAAGCCCTAAAAACACGAATTTTAGCACATGAACCTTTTTTCTCCCTTATTTCTAGGAGTACCAATTTGCTTTAAAAAAATCAGCTGCATACTTGACTTTGAATACATTTGAGATTTAACCAAGTATCTTTTTTGCAGATTGCTATTGCCTTTTGAAGCCAGTTTATAAGTAGGCTATGCAGTTGAGTAATAATTTATTTTAAACTAAGCTGCAAGTATGATATTTCTAAAATTAGGTTTGTTTTTTCGTTTTCAGTAATGATGTAGACATGGAAACAGATCACTACTCCAATGGAGTTGGAGAAACTTCATCCAATGGTTTCCTAAATGGTAGCTCTAAACATGACCACGAAATGGAAGATTGTGACACCGAAATGGGTCTGCAGTGATATTTCTTACGTTTTTAATAAAAAATGATGGCTACAAGGTTATGTTTTTACTCATACTGATTCACAGATGATGAGCATAAGCCAAATTTAAAGCTGTATGTGGCATAGGATTGACAGTAATAAATACTGCTTCTCTTAAACTTTGTTTTGAGACAGTGGGTTGTGAGAGTGGAGGCGGTCTGGTCCTTTTCTGTCCCTGCTGAAGCTCAGTGCCAGGCAGTTTTCTGTGCTGAACTCTGTCTGGCCTTAATGTCAGTGCTGCTGTTCATGCAGCTGTACTAAGAGTGTTGAGCCTTTAGGGTATTTGAAGACTGGACATATGAAAAGTTTTTACACTCATTTCAATATAGCCACTAAGGCGAAATGGGTAGAGTTGATTTTACAGATTCTAATCAACGAGAATTTCCTAAATCATTTAATGTGAGCATGTGTGATTATGCATATAATACAGTACAGCACATAGGTGCTTACTTCTCTCCCTCCCCTCCCAGAAATTATGTGATTCAAAGTTACTTTGTTGACAAATTTAATAAATTATACCATAAAGTTAAACTGTCAACAAACTTACCCATCCACTGGAGTGAAAATTATTGAAGGCTATGAAATATCTGTCAGAATTCCATGGCAACATTAGATTCCTTAGTGTATTGAGGTTAAAAGATAATTAAGATTTTTAGCGTATCTGGAAGAAACTGTAAATGCAGCGGTGTTCTTTTCTTGTTTGTTGTACCATTGCCTCGTTGTTGAGGATTACGTGCTCCACGTATACTTCACTTTTGCAGACAAGGAATTTGATTACAAGGCAGCCTCATTTTACTCTGTTAGAAATCAGCAACCTTGACTTTGAAAGAGTAATTTCCGCATGATGATTAAGGGCAGGAGTTCCAGAGCCAGATTACCTTGCTGTGTGTGACCTTGGCAGGTTACTTAATTGCTCTGTGCCTCAGTTTCTTCATCTGTAAAATGGATATAATAACAACTACCTTATAGGTCATTGTGAAGACGGAATTAATCTGTAAAAAGCTAATAGCACAAAGTTAGTGTGTAATGTGAGCCATTATCATCATCCTCCACGTTGTTAGCGATTTGTGTTGTTATTAATGATGGTTTTGGTTACAGTGTTGATCAGTGATTGTTGTCAGTCAAGGGGTATGCTATAAAATTATTTTCTAAAAGTAGTGTAATTAGTCTTTTTGATTAGTATAGTGTGGTGTTTTCTGTATTTTGATTGGAGTCATTTAGTCTGTTAAGTGTCCCAGAATTATTTTATTCCATCTCTGTTCTGTGTCAGTTAAAGCAGCCAGAAAAATCAATTACTTTTCTTCCCCTTTTTTTAATGTTGCTTAACACAGCCTTAGAGAATTGCGCTTAACGTTTCATAAAACGTCTCCTGGCACACTGGGTACGTCCTAACCCTGAGAAGTTGTCACTTGACTGCGAACTGTGTGCTAGATCTGGGTCCCTGGACTCTTGAGACTAGTTAAGGATACCTTTTCCCTGTAAAGTTCCATGTTCAATTAAAAATAAATCTGTATAGTTAGATGAAACGCGAAGGAGTAATTATGAAATGTACAGAGTACGTTACCAGCAGTTGCTGTTTATTCGTCATTGTCCTCCATTCAGTAAGGTCGTAAAGGACCCGCTTGTCTTGCTTGCAGAAGTTGACCCCGGTCAGCTAAGACGCCAGCTGTGTGGAGGAAGTCAGGCCGCTGTAGAAAGAATGATCCACTTCGGCAGAGAGCTGCAGGCCATGAGTGAGCAGCTCAGGCGAGAGTGTGGCAAGGGCACAGCAAATAAAAAGATGTTGAAGGTAAGTGCGCTTTCCCTTGAAAAATTAAAATATGTCAGAGGAGCTCTGAAATTATTTATACAACACTGAGCAGTTTACCAGAAACTCCTGTTGGGAAACTTGGGCGTGGATTCCCCTGATCTCCTACCCAGTTGAGAGTGGAATATTTTGATGGGTTCAGCAGCTCTAATTTACTGGAAGGAGCATTGGACTTCACGTCAGAAAGGTGGATTAAATCTCACTTTTGCCATTTATCAGCATTGTGTGGCCTTTGTCAAGTTACTAAAATTTTTAGTTGTATTTTTTCTGCTGGAAAATTGTCAGAGTTAATAGGAGAAACAAACTGTGAGCTTGCTGATAAAAGTATAAATTTGAGATATTTTTATTATTTTAGTAAACATTGTTAAGTGTTGCAGCAAATTGAAGGTATATAATACATGGTTTTCATTTTGATGGGGATTGGTGAAGGATTGGGTCATCTTTCACAGACAGAATACTTAAAATACATTTTCAAGTCTGTTCTGGATTGATGTCCATAATGGATAGTAAGGTGGCTACAATTTAAACCATTCAGTAAGTTAGCCACGTTTTTGTGCATCAGTTGAAAATAGAGGAATTTTCCACTAAGTTAAGTCAACATTGCAATTAGTTGTAGAGACGTTATGGCTTCTTTAAAAGTACTCCCCGCCCCAGCTCCCCAGCCTTGTGATCCTGTGAAACATTAACCTAGCCATAGTTTTTTTTTTCATGCATTAGGTGAGCTCAGAGTTTATTTGTAAAAAACATTTTCTCCTGAATGTTTTGAAAGAAGTGAAAAAAAAAAAAAGCAGTGGGGGTGGGGTGGGAGAATCATGCAGTGGCCTTGAGACTGATGTTGGGGTATGGCCATCTCTTCCTGACCTGACCTCAGAGCTGGTGTACCAGTCAGCAGCACCTCAGAGCACCTAACGCAGGCTAGGAAACTCGACACAAAACCAGTGAGAATGGGGCAGCTCCCTGCACTATACAGGGGCGTACAGCACCCCTGTAGACGTAATGTACCTGCAGAGTCTAGGCTGGGTAAGGAGCCCCTTGCTACACACCTCATGTGAAAGGCATGTAATGCTATTGCCAGGAACTGAGGGGGAAGGAGAGGTGTATCTACCGTATTTAGTACCTCATCCACTCCATATCACGGTAGCTGCTATTTCTAAATGAGCTATCACCAAAAAAAAAAGGTGAAATTATGATTCTTATGTTAAATAAAAGGGAATTGGTAGATTATGTAATTTAAACAATTTTTCATTTAGAAAGTCAAATGAGACATTCATACACCAGAAAATGGCTGTCCCATTTGCCCTCTAAGATTCAGAGTTCCTTCCTTGAGGTCAGGAAGGTCTTTACTTACCTCCCTCCCTTCCTTTTTTAATTTTTTTTCTTTTTTAAATATTTCCCTCATGTTTAGCATGTTGTTGTTGGGTGATGACAGGTCGATTCTGACGGAGAGTAAAACTCCCTCGCAGAGTTTGCTAGGCTGTGATCTTCATAGGGGCAGATTGCCAGGTCCTTTCTCCTGTGGGGCTGCTGGCTGGGTGGGTTCAAGCTGCTGACCTTTTGGTTAGCAGCTGAGCACTTAACCATTGTGCCACCATGGCTCCTTAACATTTAGCATATACACCAAAAAAAAAAAAAAACATTGCCGCCACGTCAATTCTGACTCATAGCGACCCTATACGACAGAGTAGATCTGCCCCATAGGGTTTCCAAGGCTGAAATCTGTATAAAGCCGACTGGCACATCTTTCTCCCGCAGAATGGCTGGTGGGTTCAAACTGCTGGCCTTTCTGTTAGCAGTTGAGCACTTAACCACTGCGTCACCAGGGCTCCTTAGGTATTTGGTAAATGTTTATTTAGTTGAAATTGAATTCATTTGAAAAGTGTGACTGATTTTTCCAGATTTGGAATTTTCATCACCATACAGCTGTGTAGAACCTTTTCTGGTATCAGTGGTGTGGAGAAGAAACTTAATATTTAGGCTGTATTATTAAGTTATTTTAGGTATCTGAAGTTAGACATTTAGGAAACTGAGTATTTACTCCTTTGCTACGTCCTGAGGTTGCAGCTTTTTTTGGTGTCTGGCCCCTTTAAGGAAACACTGGTGGTACAGTGGTTAAGAGCTATAGCTGCTAACCAAAAAGGTTGGCAGATGGAATCCTCCAGGCTCTCCTTGGAAACTCTGTGGGGCAGTTCTACTCTGTCCTATAGGGTCGCTATGAGTCAGAATGACTCGACGGCAAGGGGTTTGGTTTGGTTTGGGGCCCCTTTAAAAATTGTTAAGGGTCCCAAAGAGCCTTTGTTATGTGGGTTATATCTCCCTCTATTTACCGTAATAGAAACGAAAACTAAAATAAAATTTTTTATTAATTCATTTTAAAATAATAATGATGAGTCCATTAAATAACATTTTTAGGAAAAATAATTATCTCCCCCCATGCACACATTCACAAAAGTCAGAAGAGTGGCATCGCTTTACTGTTTTGCAAACGTCTTTACTGCCTGGCTTAGAGCTTCTCCTTAACAGAAGAATGGCTCGGCTCACGCGCCTGTGTTTTCAGTCTGTTAAGGTATCACACATCATGCGGCCTCTAGAAAATCGTACTGTGTAGGAGGGAGAGAAGGAGAGTGAGCAAAGGCACAGGCAACATCTTAGTGTGGTCGGGAAAATAGTTTTCACCTCTTGGGCCCAGGCGTGTGATTTATGTAGTGCCTTTGAAGAATTTAAGGTTACACTCCATCCGCTTATGTGTCTCTGATTCTAATTTGCATGAAGCTCAGAAAACAGCATTACATGGCCTATTCTCAAAGATATTCCTTGGTTACATACTGAATTACGGTAGAATGTGCTTTCCTTTCTTTAGATGGCTTTGCTTTTGCTCCTCTGACTTCAAAGCAAATGCCAGCTACTTAAGACTTTTTTAATATTTCGAGCCATTTCCCTGTCAATCCCCAAACTTACCTTGATCCAGCTGGGGATAAGATGGGTCACTGATCCACCTGGTAAGTAGCCATTGAGCAAGGCTGGAAGGAAAAAAGAAGCCAGGATTTGAGGGCAACTAGAGGAGAAAAGGAGACCCTGGTGGCATAGAGGTTAAGAGCTCAGCTGCTAACCGAAAGGTCGGCGGGGTTTGAATCCACCAGGTGCTCCTTGGAAACCCTATGGGCAGTTCTCCTCTGTCCTGTAGGGTCACTATGAGTTGGAATTGACTTGACGGCAACGGGTTTGGTTTTCTGGTTTAGAGGAGAAAAAAATTTGCCATAGTTGAGAAGATTTAGAAATTATTCCTCTTTTTATTCGTCATTTCTGTACCCATGTGATGGTGGGTGGTTTTTAAAAATCTGTAATGTTACTGGATTTGCATAAACTGGAGTCCTGTGTATATATGGATGTCGAGAGAGAGAGGGAGAAATGGTTAAGCTTGAGATTAGATTTACCTAGTTTGCTTCATCAGGAGGTGCTTGTCTTTGGTTCCGCTCAGCTGTGGAGAAGCAGGCATTCCTGCAGACCATACAGGCCGCCGGCCTGCAGTGAGAGTGGGCTCCTGCGGCGGTCGCCGGCCCGCGGTTCCCCTTTACGTTTTTCTTCTGTTTTTCTCAGTCTTCTTTTCCTGCTTTCTTTGCTTCTGCTCCTCGCCTGCCTAGGTCTGCCGTGGCTCCCATGAGAATTGCCCGAATTGGTTTGTTCAGCAGCTGTTAACTGAATTCTGCTGTGTGGCAAGGCATTGTGTAGGCCCTGTGGGAGAGGCAAAGATGAATGAGCAGTCCAGCCTGCAAGGAGCTGTAAATCTAGTAACTGAAGCAGAAATAGAACCATTTAGATTCACCTTTCTTACTTCGAGATGCTCAGATTTTAAGCCAAGTTTGAGAATCCTACCTAAATGATGTCACATTTCCCTCAGAAATTATTCCCATGGAGGTCATATTTTTTCTTTAAAATCAGAAGTAACCCCTAACACCACACTGTTGCACAGATGTGTTCAGTTTTGCACCCTAACTTCCGTGTGCATCTGTTTCACCTAACTTAGTGATTGTAGTTACACTGTTTTGTTTTTATTTAATGTTATAAAATTTATTGCCTCCTAGTTTTGTGTGCATTATTCACAGTTATTTCTAAATGACCACAAGATACTCCCCTTGTGTTGCTGTATCAGTTTATTTCACTATTTTATTGTTAGAGGAGCCCTGGTGGTACAGTCGTTCAAGCACTCGGCTGATAACCAAAAGGTCTGCAGTTCAAACCCACCAGCCACTCTGTGGGAGAACGATGGGGCAGTCTGCTTCTGTAAAGATCACAGCCTTGGGAACTCTGTGGAGCAGTTCTGCTCTGTCCTGTAGGGTCACTGTGAGTCAGAATCGACGGCAACGAGTTTGGGTTTTATTGTAAGATTATTTATTTACTTTTATATCACATGCTTTAGTGAATACGTTTATACACATATCTGTATGTTTCTTCCTCAAAATTATTCCGTTGGGTTAAATTCCTAGAAATAGAATTATTGGGTCAGAGGATATGAACATTATTGTTGCTCTTGCTACATACTGCTGTATTGCCTTCTAGAAACCTACCCGTTTACCAGCGGTAATGAAGGAGCGTACCGGTGTCACTACTACCGTAATCCTGCCTTAGTGGGCTTAACCATTTTTAAATTGCTTATTTGTATTTCCTTGGTTGCCATTACCAATTTAGTTTCATAGTAGGGTTTAAAAAAATTAAAAATTAATGATTTTATTAGTTTTCTTGCTTACAGCTTCATTTTACTTCCAGGTCATCTTTCATAATATTGCTAGTGTGATCTTTCTAAACTCAAATGTAATCTGTGTCATTCTTCTGTTTTAAACCCCATTGCCTTATTGGAAAAGTGTCAAGCTTTTTGGCTTGGTATTTGAGGCATTTAAGGATTGAACCCCTTACCCATGGCTTCAGCTGTGCTTTTTCTCCTTTCTCTCAGCTTCAGCTTGCGTGTCCCTTGAACCTGTTTCTGTTTTGTCGCCAGCAGTACACTGCATGTTATTTGTTACACGTCTGCCTTCCCTGCCAGGCAGTGTGAGTTCCTTAAAGCAGTGAGGTACTGGTCTTCGGTATGTGTAGCAGCAGCTTCTGGCAGCTGTGTTCAACAAATGTTTATAGAATTGTACTAAAAATAAAATATGAGGGCAAAAATTTAGACTTTTTCCTCAACATTTAAATTGGTAATTAAAAAAGACTGCATTTTACAAAAAGAGACGTATAGACTAGTTGTGTAGTCTTAAGCTCTCACTGCCTCACTTTGCCTCTCTATAAAATGGCCATAATGGTATCAACCTCATAGGGTTATTCTAATCAGGAGTAAATGGGATGATCCATGTTAGTGCTTGAAACACTGCCTCATACAATGTTAGTGCACAGTAGATGACTACCATCATTATTGTTATCTTTCGGTGATTCTGTCCTCCAGATGTTCTTTCTATGACTGGCTTTTTGTTTAAAATACTGGAGAGTGTAAACAGAATAATGGTCTTGATTTGAGATTTGAGCCTGCAGCATTTCACCTTTTGGCTGGTATGTCAGGACATGTACCCTGGAGGATAGTTTTGTGCTTGAAGTTTTTAATTAGTAGTTATCCCTTGGACAAGTTCTTTAGTATATCTGTTTATCTGTACTGTGGGCATAATACTTCATTAGATGGTCGAGCAGTAGATTAAGTCTTGAGCAAAGTTCAGTGTTTATAAACAATGTGATTGATCAGTATTCGCTTTACAAGATATTAACATTCTTTCCATCAGTAACTTAGGATTGGCGTGAACCAGGAAGTAGCAGAGTAGATTGTGGGATGCATAAAAACATCTTAAATACTGTTTAAGAAGCAAGTCTTAGGGTATCAGCAGGCCTGTGGAGCTTCTTCCCTGTACCCAGCACCTATGAATCCCGCAGGAGATTCAGAATAATATAGTAAATGATGTTTACCTTCAAAGAACTCTCACTGTGGGTGAGAAGCGAAGTCTGAACCTGATGAATATTCAGCACTCTAAGACAAGAGAGGAGCCATATATGTTTGCGTTAGAGGCATGTGTATTCCCTGTCTTGAAGCCTCACTGACTTCGCAGCTTCCCTTTGTGGGTAATTCTTTGTAACCACAATATGGAGGCCAGTTGGGGTGAGAAAGGTAAGCCAGCAGTTGTCCAGGGAGCCTTTTCCCGGCTCTGCTTTCAGGACCCTCAGAACACGGGAGACGGGGAGTGGGAGCCGATTTGCTTGAGCAGCTCCCCCTAGGAGGCAGGATTCTTCAGGAGGTTTGGTCTTCCACATTTCTCTGTTCAGCACTTTGAAATGTTTTGTTCCTGAATCCGCAGATTTCCATTTTTCACAACACCTCTCCGTATATGCCTAACTGGGAAGGTGTCCTGTGTCTGTATCCTCTCTGTATCTGTATTCTTTTCTGTATGCCGTTTACAAACTGAACCAGGGAAGACTCGGGAGAGCATTTGGGGAGTGATGGAATAACTCAGTAGCGTAATGCTCTGGATGAAGACAGTGACCTTTGGCATGGCAATAAGACATCGTGTATTGGAAACATTAGAAGGACTGGCCTTATGTTCGTTTCATTTAGTCGTTTAGTCTTCAGACACCTCTTACCATCCCCATTATCCAAATGAGCAATTAGAGACGTGTAGAGAGGGTCTTAGCCCACACCCATAGTGAGTGGTGGTGCTTGGACTTGAAGCCAGTCTCTGAAAACATCATAGTATCTGCTTCCCACAGAAAGGAGACACAAAGACAGGACCAGTCATCAGAAAGGAATAGTGTTGTCAGTTATCTTAAGTTAAAAAAAAAAAAGGAATGATTTTAACTATCATTGTGGTTGAGTGCCTTGAAGTGATGTTTTTACCTGTCTCTCAGTTTGGAACCATTGTGAACATAGTAGTTGAACTGTTTGAATTGAAAACCAAATTGATGTTTTCAACAGGATGCATTCAGTTTACTAGCTTACTCAGATCCTTGGAACAGCCCGGTTGGAAATCAGCTTGACCCGATTCAGAGAGAACCCGTGTGCTCAGCTCTTAACAGTGCAATATTAGGTAAGTAGAACCAGAAAGCACCACTTCGGCTAGATTGCCTAAATAGTTTGGAAAGAGTATTTGTGCTAGCATTTATATTTTGGTAGAGTCATCAGGAAGATGTTTTCTACATTTTTAAAATATAAAATTACCTTAAAATATAGGACTCCTCCTCCTTTATCTCAATTCCAAATTAACTAGATTCAGATGGAATAAGAACAGTAGACTGGGATGCGTCTTGGGGTGTTTGGAAAATAGAGGTTTTGTGTGCGCATGGATGTGAGTGTTTCCTGATAGCAGTGAATGTCTGCTGCTTCTCCTTCAGAATGAGATCTTTGGTGGTCCTTGTGTTTCCAGTTCAGAATATTACCCTACCAAGGACACCGTTTCCCCTTGTCATCCTTTTTAGTGAAAGGCGTTTTCTGCCACTCGTTTCTAAGATGGGCATCATGAGTTGGCACTCTCCTGAATTCACACTCTGGATAGACTGTCTCCTCTGGTACAGGAGAGAAGGATGTGGGTGTGGATGGGAAGACGAGATGAGTAGCTGAGGAATCCAGCCTGAGGGCCTTTTGTTTTTCAAGTTTTCAGGAGCTGAGAGTTGTCAAAGTTTCAGGAAGTGGTGAGAATTTGGAGGAGCCAGTGAAGGGAGTGAAATATAGCTGAACAGAGACTGAGTAAAAGGGTTAACTTGTGACATTGAGAGCCCAGGTGAGAAACAAAAGTATGAATTTATGGTGGCACAGAACCATTCTTTATAGTTGAATACATTTTCTTGAGTGGATTAATCAGAACTAGAGCTACCGTTTGGCTGCTGTAGAAGGAATTTAGGAACATTAACGAAAATGTGGTTCTAATAATTGGTCCACGGTAGGTAGTGAGTGAGGCTAGAGAGGAGTCAGCTGGACATGAAGCAGTCAGGAGGTGCAGTATTGACTAAGTACAGGAGCAGGCTGAGTGAGAACAGAAATGAGGGCGTGAAAGCTTGACTATCTGAGAAGTTTGAGTTTGATCCTCTTGATCAGGATTCCTAGCTGGCGACCAGCGCCCCTGCTACATACTCCCTGCCTCTTTGCTTGAGATGTTTCCAGTGGGCACCCCCATCTCAGCTCCCACCATGCTCAATACAGGGCAAGGGGCCTCCAGGTGACTTGAACACCCCCATCTCAGCTCCCACCGTGCTCAAATACAGGCCAAGAGGCCTCCAGGTGACGTGAGCACCCCCATCTCAGCTCCCACCATGCTTAAATACAGGCCAAGGGGCCTCCAGGTGACGTGAGCACCCCCATCTCAGCTCCCACCATGCTTAAATACAGGCCAAGGGCCTCCAGGTGACTTCAGCACCACCATCTCAGCTCCCACCATGCTTAAATACAGGGCAAGGGGCCTCCAGGTGACTCGAGTACTCTGTCGGCAGCAACCTTTGAGGTCAAATTGTATTTCCATTTAAATAAATTTAGCTGTGTCCTTTCATATACAAAGGGTGGGTCAGGAAGAGAACAACAATTTGAATTGTGATTTCTACTCCTCCTTCACTCGGTGAGGCTTGTTCAGGTGTGAGCATGCAGTGGGAAACCTGAATTCGCTGTTCCCTTGGTTGGTTTCCATTCCTGTGAGCAGCCACCTGCCAAGTATTAGATTAGTGTAGTTTAACAGATGCACTTTAACTGCATATTTTGTGCTTTTATATAGAACTAGGGTTGTTTGCATAAAACAATTTCAAGGCAGTTCAGGGGGGTTCAAAGGTAACTTAGATATGAGCAACTTTTTATCCAACCTCAGAACCCGGTTCCTCAGGTAAAATGGGACTTCTGTATTGTGCCTTTTAGGCCCTTGTAGGTTCCGAGGATTTTAGCAACATGTTTCAAACTATCTTAGGAAGATTAGGACAGTGCCACAAAGAGGAGAGAGTAATTTCCACGGGAGATTTGTAATGACAGCCAGGACTAGTGTGGCAGGAATGTGAAGGAAGCAATGAAAAGTATTCACATGTGAGCCTTTGTCGTTGTCTTTATAAAATTCATTATCTGTAAGGTCTAACACAGAGGTCTTAACATAGATGTCTTTTGTGTTGTAGTTTTCTCAAATTTAGAATTTGTATATAAAAAAATAATGTGAATTTTCTTTGGTTAATGTGTTGACTTTTCTTTGGTTATGCAGAATTCGTTTAGCTTTATCAGTAAAAATAAGAGAACTTAGTAACAATGCTGGGATTGTAGGGCAAATTATGCTTATGGCTTACCATAATTGTCTTTTTGAAATTATACATTATAGGTAATCATGAAGACCTAACTGGAAGGATTTTTGAAGAAAAGTGACCAGTTTTTTTAAGACAGTTTTTGATTTCTTGGGTTAGCTTCAAGGGAATTAAATTCTTAAATATTAAATTGCTTAGGACTGTTATCCAAGTTATATGTATTCTTAAATATTGTGCTATATTATGTAGTTTGTTATAATATTTAAATTTATTTATATAATTCCTGCAAAATTAATGACGGGCTTATTAAAGTGCTTAGTACATATGTATACACACATACATACTGTGCTATATTATATAGGTGGAGGTTCATCTAAAAATAACACTTTAAGTTATTAATTGTATATAATTCCTGTTTAATATGCCAAAAATGTTGAAGGTTGTATAAAAATGAAGTGGGAGTAGTAGTAGCAATAGTAACGTCATCAGAACCTGTCTAACTTCAGGGAGGATAATAACCTGGATCAAGATCAGCCCAAGGCTGGTCCCTATGAGGCGGAGGTCAAATGTAGCTCCACTCTCCAGCCTGTTTACCAGTTCCGACACCAGCCATCCCTCCCACGGCACCCTCTACTTCTCTTCTGGGTTTGGTGATCCATTGCGCAGTGGCCACACACAACTCACAGACCACACTTAGAGTTAGGTGGTTTATTAAGGAACAGGGTGCATCTCGGGATCAGGATCCAGAAGCATGTAGGCAGAATCTCCCTTCCTCAGTGCAGGACAGCTCTCTCAGCTCCCCTCAGGACAGGCTGCCGCCTCTGCCACCGGGCCCCTTCCCGGCCTATCGCTCCTGGCTCTGCTGTTGGGCCCCTTCTGGGCCAGTTGCCGTCTTCATGTTACAGCCCTTGACCCATGTTACAGCTCTTTTAGGGGGTTCCTTGCCTCCTCTCTCTCTCTGCTTCTGTCTCCCTATCTCTGTGGGGCTAGTTGCTTAAATACGCAAACTCCTTGTCAGTTTCAAGGCATAGCACTCCTGTTGGGGCCAGGAACTGACCATTCCCCTATCAGTAGGCCAGATATTTCCTTTGCTTAGTGAGCACAGTCTGTTGACCATCCCTGCACAAGGTGCAGACCAGTCACGGGGCAGGCTATAGGTCGGGACCAGACAAAAAGGATCCAACCAGGTTAGTTACAGCTCACCCAGGAAATGTCAGTCAACCTGGGAAGAGGTAATATGTCCTCTGGGTAGAAAACTAGGGCAGAGTAACTCCTCAGGGCATGCGGGGAGAATCTCTCAAGCTGTTTTTCAAAAAAAAAAACCAAGGCAAGAGGCTACATAAAGGAACGTTGTACCAGATGTCTGCCTCCCCAAAATAAAATTGCAGTAAAGCACCTCTAGATGCCTACCTTTTGGGAAGGCTGTGTCCCTGGGAACCTTCAAGAGATGTTTAAGTTGTATTCTCTGTCCTCACGTTGATTTTGTGGTAAAAAATTGTTGATTCAAGGTAAGGCTGAATTAAACTATAAAGTCAGTCCTGCTTAGAGTAGGTAAAAAAATGTTTATCACCATCAAAATGTAGTTAAAGTAGTGTCTTGCCACAGAACAGTCAGTAATCTTGTGTACCTTTTGTTGAACATTTTCATTTTTACATTTTTGTTTTCTTGTACCTTTAAATCCTGAAGTTCCTTTTATTTTTGTTTTATTCTTTCTGAAATTTTCCTTTTCTTTCTCCCACTACCATATTGCAACCCGAACCAAGACTGGAATTAAACCACGTGGAGTCTTACTCGCCACGTGTCAGCATTTTTGCCCTTTAAGTCAGCAGGGCCTATGAAGGACTGATTAGTAATTTGTCAGTTTACATAAACTTAGAAGTTTGCACATTGTTTCCATAGAAGGAGAAAGTACCAGCTTCTCTGAGTTTGGTAACTTTGACCATTAGTTCATTTTATCACCTCTGTCAGAGAACAAATTCTGGTAACTACTGCATTTCTACCACAACTGTCCGACAAACTTCTGGTATGGCAGGTCCTGAAAATTTGTATTGGCAATTTTTTAAAAAAGTTTGAACTACGGGTTGAAAAGTAACTCCTCCAAAATTATAGGGTGGTTTTGCTCTGTCACAGGAAACAGAAGACGGGAAAGGGTGTCCACCATATTCCAACCTCAGGTCACTGTTAATATGGAAGTATGTTTTTGGGTATTTGACATTTAAAAATGTCTTGCTAATTTCCATTTTTTAACCTTTTTCCTCAGAAACCCACAATCTGCCAAAGCAACCTCCACTTGCCCTAGCAATGGGACAGGCCACACAGTGTCTAGGGCTGATGGCTCGATCAGGAATTGGATCTTGTGCATTTGCCACAGTGGAAGACTACCTACATTAGCTATGCATTTAAAGAGCTCAAACTTGTATTGTGGCATATAGTCAACATGGAAGTAGACCAGCTCTGCCGATTTGAAATTTAGATTTTTTAATTATGTACTGGGGACAGGTTTTTGTCGCTTTACATTGCTTCCTAGTTTACAGCATGATGCAAATGATTTTCTAACTTAGTGTTAGGAGAAATTCTTTTCCATCTTTAACCTCTTAGTTGTCTAAGAGTTTAATATTACTGAATTTCAGACGTTCAAATTGATCATCACAAATCCTTTTAAACAATTACCTAAAAGAAACCAAAAACTCCTGCCTTCTTTGTGGGGGGGAGAAAGGGTAAGGAAATGGGCCAAGTTGTGTTTGTGTTAGCATGTGGGTGACGTAAACTTCAAACTGGGAGCTGTTCCGACCCCCACTCCCATAGAAGCATTCAATCAGTGTAACTTGCAAAACGCATAAACATCTGACAGTTTGAATTTATAGTGTTGATGGAAGAAATCATTTTTAATGTGTACTGTAAAACTTGAAATACTCAGGAGCTGAGTGAATATGTTTGTTGCTACTTACAATCCTGACCTGTTAGTCCCAGTAGTTTTGTTTTAACATGGTCTTTTTCAACTTTGTTTCCTGTTTAACTACAGACAACTTCTGTTGTAGACTCACGAGTTAACTGTTGTATTATAACAGTATTACATGTCAACAGTGTGGTTATGACCTTTATTTATATAAAAACCAAATATTTAGTCAATTTACCGTGTCTTAATTTAATCTTTGTACACCTTCCATTTTTAAGTGCTTAAATGAGTACTATATTGCAATAAAAATGTAGTGATATAATCAGCCATTAAAAATTTACTTCTACAGATACTAGAGTGTCAGTTGAGTTTATATATTAAGTACTTATATACTTCCTATAATATAAAACCAGAGCAGTTAAAATTGATAGTTTTCTGCCATCAGTCTGAGCTCTACAACCTAAGGCTGCCTTCAGTTTACTGGCCTCCTTGGATTAGGGTCAAACCTGATACTATGAAGCAACAGGAAATTAATTTCCTTGTTTATTACTTTCATAGTCACGATATGGACTGTGAGACTTGCCAGTCAAGCAAACAAGCTGCTCAAGAAGAGAACTGTATACGTTTGATTTGGTAATGGAGATACTGGCTGTTTTCTACACTGAGGCTTGAACCTTCTCTAAAGGGAGTATTTATTTCTGTTTTTAGATTTGGCACTCATTCATAATTCTTTTTTATTATTCCATGAGGCTACTCAGTAACATCAAGCAACAGTCTGTGAAACAAATTTTCATTAAGAGCACTACGACACCCGAGAGTAAGGCAGCTGAGAGCTGCGCCTGAAGACTCTTCCCGGAGAGCCGTCTCTTTTCCACCCACACCTTGGTGCGGAGGGGCGGACAGGTGGTGCTACTGGGGTGGGTAGTGCTTGTATTTCACTGAATGGGTAAACACTTCTAAGAAGAAAGGAAAACAGGTCCTTTTAAACTAGTTTTTCTTTCAGGACCTCCAAAGACTACAAGGCGTGACTGTACTCCAAAAGGATGAAATGTGGCCAGATACTTCCCCAGACAAATAGATTTATGATTTTTATAACGACCCCTTAAAATGAACTATGAATGGTTTATTAGTTTCAGAAAAAAATAATCCTCTAAAATAACTGTATACTATACATAAAAAGTATTGATTCTTTATTTAGCTGCCATTTACTCTCCCAGACGCTTTCATCTTTCTGAACATCCACCGTCTTTTAAATCTCTTGGCATTTTGTTTTTTCTGGGCTCCTAAAATAGAAAGTGGCATATAGTAAGAATATTAGATATATAAAGTTCCCAGGAAACACATAATTCAAAATGTTTTTTAAAGATTCCCTAGTTACTGTTAAGTGCTAAAATGAGGTATATTAAAAAATCAGACTGTACACTGGATGTACATACACGCTACACTGACTGACCAATTTCTCAGAAGCAACTTTAAATATTAATACAGAAACCATTATCAGGAAAAAAATCATGACACTTCCGAATTATCTAAGCATTTAACTACCTCCTCAAAAAGAACATTATTGAACACTTCAAACTATCGGAGCCAAGCAAACAAAGCTGGATCTTACCCCAAGTATTGTTCAGGAATTGGGCTGCAGCCCTTTTCACCGGCAACCTCTTGTTGGCAAGAGACAGGAACTTATTGACTAGAAAAGATCAGTATTTATCACTTCTTTGCCTTATTTGCAGTAAAAAGCATGAGAAGTTAGTCCATAAGGAAATTACCAGTCATTCTGTTGGTTCCCGGACCATACAAAGAATTCTGTATGAAGGCTTTGGCTGCCTGCTGCCTTGCGTCTCTCAGATCTTGGTCTTTGAGTCTTAGAGCCACGTAGCTTTTGTTCTGGCTGGTAGTACAAGAGACCAACTGCAAGTGGCTGATACACACTTACTCTCAAAGTATTCGTGTTAGTTGTTTCATAGACAGCATAGAAATCTAAGTATTAGCTTTGTATATGCACAGGTAAGATAACGGGCAGAGCCGACTCATTACCTGCCTGGCTGTACTTTCTGTGTGCCAGCTTTCTTGGAGTCACTTCCTTTGTCATGGCCTTCATGTTTCTTCTGCAAATCAACTGAAAAATCAAATTCTATTTTCTAATCAGCATTATAAGAAAGTAAACCGGGACTGTTTACTGGAATTCACTTTTAAAAATCTACTACACACAACTTGGCTGCGATTTTCATTTGTCAGAAATGCAGGGAACGGGCTTGAGTTTCCTGTGGCCAGGCCTATGCCCGTGCTCCCCCTTAAGGGCCAGTAAGATACAACCGGAACGGTCTACAAACGCACTTGGCGCTCACCCGACAAGTTACTTCGATGGGTCGTACCTTCTTTCAGCTTTCCTGGTGACTTCTTTATGCTGAGAAAGAATAAAAACAAACAAACGCTGATAGAATGACGGCAAGGATCACTCAACCTGTTAAACCATTTCACCTGGTTCTGCAAATGATGCCTCCCCTTCCATTACCACCACTCCTCGGTGTTCCTCAGATCTTTAATCAGTTTCGGAAAAACAAAAGTCACTCCCCAATACATCGCCCCCTCCCTGCCAACCAACTCCCAATCAACAGAGGGAGGGGAGTATCTGCTCAGAATGTAAAATCAGGAAGCGTATTTGCAGGCTTCCAAAGAAACGGACTGCTGTGTCTAATGGAGCAAAAGTCAACGGGTTATGTAACACCGTATTTAAAATAAGTGCAAGGGAGTAGGCCTGCCTCGTTGTATTTGGGGAAGTCATGAAGGAGTCACTCAACAGTTTAGACAGAAGACAAGGGCCAGCTTCAAGGATTCCAGTGTCTAATGAGAGACAAATGTAAACTAAGACAATGAGATGCCTATAGAAAAACACTTGCAAGGTAGAAAAGCTACACGAGAGTTCTTCTACTGAAAACTTGAAAACCACCGAACTAAAGTGTTCAGGGGTCAAAATTCTGACCTGAGAGCACTGAGGGGAGACAAAAGGGACAGAAGAAAACTCCAACCATTTAAAAGTCCAATTTAGTGGGGTTTGGCTGATTCCATGAGATGGGCAAGAAAAGATTACTGTAGTTTTTGAGTTTAAACATTCAGTGATGGCAAAGCTGCTAAATGGGGAACAAGGATGCCGGGCAGGTTGGTGGCAGGTAAAGGAAATTTGGGGCAAGGTGAGTTCAAGGGGGGCCCTGGTGGCACAATGGTCAAGAGCTCGGCTGCTAACCAAAAGGTCGGCAGTTTGACTCCACCAGCCGCTCCGTGGAAATCCTACGGGGAAGTTCTACTCTGTCCTATAGGGTCACTGTGAGTCGGAACTGACTCGACAACAAGGGGTTTGGTTGGTTGGTTTTTGAGTTCAAGGAACCTGCAGATAAATGTCTGTTGCCCCACTAAATGATACGTTTCAAAACAGTTTCATCCACCACCACGTACCCTGCCCCTAGCGCAATGACAGGCACTCAACAAAATTTACTGAATTAACACACTGGGATCAGGGACTCAGAAGCTCGACTTCCACATGGGAATGAACGAAAAGAAATGGTGAGACCAAAAAGAAATGGAGTATCTCCCTTCCCATTTCCCACCAAATTCAAACATCTACTAACGTGCGATTTCTTCAATTGCATGGCCCCAAATAAATGTTTGTAGCAGTTTGTAACTGCACTCTTTCAAAGATGGGTGGATGCATGGAAGTATTACAGTAAGATTCATTACTTACTTAGTTTGGGAAGTTGTAGTTAGCTTCTCTAGAACAGCATCTGGAAGGAGTTTTCTTTTCTTGGAATAAAGACATTTAAAAATCAGTAAAAGTGATGCACGTGACAATGGCGGAGTTGCTCTGGAAATTATGGACTTTACAAAAAGCCCGACATCTGGGCAAACGAATTAAGCTGAATACTACCCCTGTATCACTAAGGTGTTGGAAGATTGGGCCCACGAAAATCTTGGAAAAATCAGAACCTATTCCGAATTCTCTGGAATACTTGGTGAAAACTGGGAAGGGGGCCCACCGTATTCCGACTCTCACGCCACTGTTTTAACTGAAGGCAATTAAGTCACGTCCATCAGGAGTCCCTGTGATTGACCACATTTCTGTGGCGAGTCTGCCAAAACAGACAGCTGATGTTAGTGCAGCCCTTAATTACAAGGCACCTCATTTAATTCTCACAGCAACCTAGTTTCGAACAAATAATTCCCTCCGCGAGACTAAATGACACGGTGCCGTGAGTGTCAGCGCTGGGCAATGAACCCTGGGGTATCAAATCCACAACGCTTCCCACTCCCAGGTTCCAGGGACAGACAGCGATGGGCACGAGCATCTTTCCCCCGTTGCCAGAACGCACATTAGTGACTTGTCCCCACCCCGTATCCTACCAATCCAAACGGCATCAAACGTGGGCATTCCACCTCGAGCCGCCGTGGCCTCCCGACCCGCCAACTAACCTTCTGTTCGATGAACAGCTCCTCGCGTCGTTTCCTCTTCTCCTTCAGGAGAATTTTATCCCTGGGAGAGAAGAGGACAAGTCAGCTCGGGGAGGGACACGCGGGACCCGGAGGGGCCAGGCGGCGGGCTCCCAACCTGCGCGCGGTCTCTCGCACTCGCCGCTCCTCTTCTCTCGCTTCCGCCTGGGCACTGGCGAAAGTCAGCTCCTCCGGGGCCTCGTCGTCAGACTCATCGTCCCCTTCCTCGTCCTCCTCCAGCGGCTCGGCGGCCGCGCCGCTACTGGGCTGTCCCAGCAGCAGGCCGTGCTCCGCCACCTCCTCCGAAGCCGGCTGCCCCTCATCCACCATCGCGTCCGCCTCCGCGGGGGTGCACGACGCCCGCGGCCGGAGCTGCACCATGGCCCACGCAGCGCTGGACCGTCTGACCTCTGACCCGGAAGCAGCTCTCGAGGCGAGCGGATTTGAAAGAGCAAACAACACGGGATTTCCTCGCCCCCTGCAGGTCCGGAGGCCCCTCTGAGCTGCGCCCATGTGGAGGCAGCGCCACGGAAGGGCGAAGGCGCATGCGCAGAGCCAGGGAAGGCGTGGCCTAAGGGACTCAGGGGCCGGGGTGTCGGGGCTGCTCCTCCCCCGCCGCGCCTTCCGCAGACCGGACGCGGGCGGCCTGCGGGGCTCACTGAGCCCGCGGCGGGGGGGACGCGCTGGACAGCCCCCTCTGCCGACAGAAGCTCCCCGACGGCGACAGCGGTGGGGTGGGATTTGTCTCCAGGCGGGGGAGCTCCATGGTGCGGCCGTCGGCTAGGACGCTGAGGGCGGGGTGGATCCCCGCGCTCCCCGAGACGAGCTGGCTCAGTCACGGCCTGCGGCGCCCAGAAACCCCGCCACCGCGTCCCCGGTCGCTGTGTCGCCGCCTTTTTTAGCAGCAGGACCAGCTTGGTCGAACCAGTTCAGTGTTTGTAGATTCGGTTCCCTTCACGGCACTCCCCGCAGAAACAGGGTCTCAAAGGGAAGAAATGCGCTGTGGTGAGAGGACGCCTTTGGGAGAAGTCTTGCTGTCCCCCCGCGATAAACCACTTCGACCCGACCTGGGCTTGGCACCTCGGCCGGCCGTTTCTCCGGCTTCCCCGGCCGCTCCCTATCCATCCCTGTCGTGGTCCTCAAGGCAGCAGCCTCCTCATAAGTTTGATTGCCTGACTTCCCCACTAGAATGTCAGCTCCGTGAGAGTAGGGACCTTGTCGGCTGTATCCCTGAGACCTTGAACAGTGTCTGACCCATCGAAGATGCTGTTGTAAAAATGAATGACTTTAGTGTTACTGACTGGGACCCAGGTGCTATTCTCTAGGTACATGTATTCATTGCCTGGCATATTTTGTTCCTTTACACGGTCTTTTGTGATCCTTCTGTTCATCTTGTCCTACCCATTATACAATGCTAAATGACAAGCATTCACACATTTTATGCAGCATTTGTACATGCTGTTCCCTCCACTGATCAGCACTCCCCCACGTGGAACTCCTATTTATACTTCAAAACCCTCCTACCCAGGCTGACCTCCTCCTAAAGGCTTTCAAGCGTCTTATCATCTACGCCACCGCCCCCCCCCCGCCCTTCTCTAACTGCCCTCTCCTCTGAACCATGCACTGTCGGCCATTACTGTAGACTCCACATTGTGTAATAACTGTATACAGGACAGTTATTTCAGCTATTCTCTGAACTCCTTGCCGGCACGTTCGATGTCGCACTAATCATTTTATTTCTAATGTCTATCAAATGGTAGATGGCCAGTAAATGTTTGTTAAATTGAATAATTCCATTTCACACATTTTGTTCAATTCTCCTTTCATTTTCTCTAGTTCAGAAGCCATTCCTCATTTTTAAACACAGCGAAACCAAAACGTGGACAAAATGACGTATACAACAACAAAAGGAGCCGGTGAGAGGAGCTGCAAAGTGTGAGAGTCGCAAGGAACAGTTCGGAAACCTCTGGGCCTTGCTCAGATACTAATAGATAAAAAATAAAATCAAATTTCCTGAGACAGTGTGTTGACTTGCATCGTTGCTACCTCTGGAAAAGTGTATAAGTTAATTTTGACAAGGTCAAGGACAAACTAAAAGTGCAAGATAGTATTTTATGTACAAAAACTGCATTATACGTATTACAAGAACTATTAGACGTATTACCGGTCCCCTCCGTGTACATCCCTGATCCACCCAGGATTACAGTGTAAAGTGTGAATCGAGCCCTAAGGGTGCCTGTCTGGTCCTCCCAACTCCTCAGTTACGAACATCCTGCTTCCTCCCACACAAAGGACCTCCGGGATTTATTACAAATTATGACATGCAAACGTAGTACAAAGTTTTAAACAAAAGTTTCATGTCACCTATTTGTACAAAAGCCAAGTGAACATTAAATGCAGTTTTGCAGTGGACTGAGGTGACGTGGCTGTGGTGCACTGTATTACTGGATACAGCCCGTCTCGCCGTGGTCTTCTAACTCCCACCCAAGTGATTACGTGGAGCTGTGCAAATAAGGTAATTGTGGCCCCACCAAGGGGATTGGTCAGTTTTGCCACCACTAGGTTTAAAAGAGAGCCAGCTGCAGAGCAGAAGAGGATCCGACCACCACCAGTGAAGAAGGGCCAAGAGTGGAGTGCGTGCTTTGGACCTGGGATCCCTGCGCTGAGAAGCTCCTGGAACCAGGAGACTGAGAGAGCGAGCTGTAACACTGAAGACGGCCAGAAGCAGCCGCAGAGAAACAGCGGCGGGAGAGGCTGGCAGGAGACGGCACAGTGGGCTTCCCAGCCCACGGAGCAAGAAAGCTGAGTGCCTTTGGGCAGAGGGATTGCTGGTGGAGTAGGGTGCCTCCAGGCATTTGGTGGAGCTAGGTTTGCCAACCCGGGGAGCTAGAACTGAGTGCCTTTCCGCTGAGGCAGGAGCAGGGGCAGAGGCCCAGGGCCAGAAAGAGGCTGTCCTGATCAAAGAACTGTATCCTGAGCATTCCCAATCTGAATTGTAACCTGTTACTTCCATAATAAACCCCATAATTGTGAGTATTGTCTGTGAGTTCTGTGTGGCCATCGCAATGAACTAGGGAACCCAGCAGAGAAGTAGAGGGTGCTGTGGTAGAGACGGCCGGTGTCAGAATTGGTAAAGATGGCAGAGAGAGGCCCACTTCATCCAAGGCTACCAAGGACCTTAGGAATGACCTTCATACATTGATGGCTGAGGTCATTTCTTCCCATCAGGCCTCTGATGCTTGTTGGATGGCATTCCAAGGGCCCTAGGTGCTGTATGACGTGGTGGGGCTTGAGAAGAGAGCTGAATTCTTCAGAAATTGAACTCCAACGTGGTAAGAGCAACATTTTGTAAAGTCTGATGGGAAAATTCCCTTCAGAATTCAGTGCCTGGGAAAGCCTGGCAGACCCCTGCAGAGACGAGGTTTAATGATACCAAGAAACGGCCAACCCATCCCCCCTCTCTCCTCGGCTGCTAAGATGCCCAGAGCTACCTTCTAGGCAGCTGTGTTTACCCTCGGGGTCCATGTATTTAAAATCTTTTTCTCATCCTGATTTTCTGCCGTGTTCTTTTCTCTTCCTTCCTTGCATGAGTTCTTGCTATAAGTAATTCCATGTTCTTTGAGGTAAGACAGCCAAACAAGGCAGACACAGACAAGAAGCCTCTGACAAGACATCTCTTGGGCTAACATCTTTATACAATCAATTACCAAGTGCACAGAGTGACTTTTATTTTCCACCAAATCTTATGCAAAAATCAGATGAAAGAATACAAGTATTTACCTCCTCTGCTTCTATCTTTGCCCAAGCAGCAAAAATACAACCAACATTAAATAACTTTTTTAAGACAATCTCATTACACACTTTTTTCCCCTCCCAATAACCAACCAAACACTTCAGAGGTACCGTAAGTTTCAGTTCAAACCAAATAATATGTAGTAACTTTCCAGGTATCTGACTCCTTCTAAACCCTTCTGCTGTTGTTACTTCTCAGTCTCTCCCACTTGTCAACAGGTTAGATTCCAGCTAGGGGATGAGAGGATATTTTGGGATCTTCATCATCCACCAGATTGTTTCTCTCCCATTTGTGGCCCAGTACTCAGATGTACTATCATTTCTTCCGTCCCCAGGACAATTAAGAGACAGTTTCTGTTTCATGACGGGCAAGGGCTTCAGGAAGAGTTGTGCCACAGGGCCCCTGGAAATGAAATCTGAAATACAAGGACCAAATCCAGCAGAGTTATGAGCAAAATGAACACACTACCTCTGCAAGTCACACGCTTCTCAGTTACACCCAGAATAAAACCCAAAGCCCCGGAATAGGGTGTTTTCAGTTTCTGCGCCGACTTGTTTCATCCAGTTTCTGACAATGCGAGATGCAGACACTTCACTGCGCGCTCACCACGTGGCCGAGAGAATCGAGGGGAGCAACTGCTTAGAATTTATGTGCTATAAACAGGAATTTCGTCTTAAGGAGTCGGGGAAGACATGATTGTAAGGTGTATTTTATGGCTGTATTTCCAAACTCATCACTGAGTTTGTAACTCATCGGTGAAATATTAAGTTTAAAATTCATATATATACTACAGTAAAACAGCATGCACACGCGCTGAAGACCAAAGAAAAACAACGCTCACACACAGGCTAGATTTTAGCTGACCACAAGGATCGGTAACTACAGGGTTAAGGCATCCAGAAGGCCTTATCGGAGGCTGTGTACCTGGGCTGGAAATCCAGTCTGCTTCTGTGTCAAAGCGGCTTAGATCCTCCAGGCAAGAGTGAGATACTTCATTCTTTACTGTTACGATTTCAAACAGCAAAGTTTCTGACAGTTTATGATTTTACAGAACATAAGGATTTTAACTGAGTCAACAGGCCTCTCAAAAAAAAAAAAAAAAAACTATGAATAAGAAACAAACAGCAGGACTTTCTAGAATCGTTTTAAGAAAACCAATTGAGCACAATAAAAAATGGAAAAAGCATTTCCTCGGAGGAATTCGTCATCCTTATTAATTATTCTTGATACAATACAGAGCGTGAACGCCTTAACCTTCAAATACAGTAAAGATTCTCTCGATCGAGTGCCCTGGAATGGCCACCCCCGATCAAATGGCACCTCCAATCCTCCTGCCACCCACAGCAGGCTGAACGCTGGCCCTAGAAAACTCCTCACTGGCGCAGGGGTCCTTGGTCCCTTGAGGACTTCCCAAGAATTACAGCCAGGCATGGAGAGCTTTTAGGGAATTCCCAGATCCTCAGCTTCCAGACTGTCTTTCCTAAGAAAGTGGCTTTCAAGTGGCCCTTTCGACATTCACCCTTCTCCCGCTTTACAAAAGCAAGCTGCACCCCTCCTCCCCCCACTCAACTCTTAAAACAGTACCTTACCCCAGAGTATGAACACCAATGGGTGCCAACTAAAGGGACCTCTGAAATACTGGTGTCAATCAGAGGAAACAGGATTTCTAAAGACCGGGCAACACATCCTGTGTAAGTCAGGGGGTTTCAATTCTGGCTTCCAATGAGATTGAAAGAGGGTCTAATCACAGACTTAATGGTTTGATTGAGACTGGAGGGACCCTGGAAGACATGGCTCCCGGATTCTCTGTTAGCCCAAAACTGAAACCATGCCCAAGACCAACTCTTCAGACAAAGATTAGACTGGACTGTGGGACATAAAATGATACTCGTGAAGTGTGCCTCTTGGCTCAAGTAGATACATGAGACTAAATGGGCAGCTCCTGTCCAGAGGTGAGATGAGAAGGCAGAGGGGTCAGGAGCTGGTTGAACGGACACGGGAAATCTGGGGCGGAAAGGAGGAGTGTGCTGTCACAGTGTAGGGAGAGCAAGTAGGGTCACATGACAATGTGTGTATAAATTTTTCTACGAGAGACTAACTTGAATTGTAAACTTTCACTTAAAGCACAACAATCAAAAAATAAAACCCTATGGATGCCAAGGGTCCAATCCACAGCTGACCTGGGGATGGCTAAGGACTGGGCAGCATTTTGTTCTGTCGCGCGTGGGGTCACCATGAGTGAAGGCCAACTCAACAGCAGCAAACAACAACAGCAGTAGACAGCCTCAAAGTGACGTCTTTCTTTTCCTCCCTCACGCCCGTCCCACCTTCGCAAGCCGCACGCACCCAGGGCCCACCTGTGACCAGCGCATCCCCACAGGCCGCACCTGGGTGCCGTTTTCTCCCCACCCCGTGCTAACAACCTTCGCCACTGTCTTATCCTGTGCTTTTTCCGGAAAAAATAAATAAAAGACTTGTGGGGGGAGGAAGGGGAAGAAGGTCTAACGGAGTTGTCAATGAACAGATCATTAACTCTGATACAAAATCACCATGTGTATTTCGGCATAGAACTTGGAAGGAGGCCAAAATCTGAGCGACGCTGTAACAAAATTCCTTTTATGCCCCTGGTTTCTGTGGCCCCCATTTCTCGGTACTTCATGTATAAAAAGCAAAAAACAAGAATTACAATTGACGCTGGGAAGTGCAAATGAGCTTGGCCAGTCAAAGTCCGCGCCGGCGCTCGTCACGCTGGCAAAACAGGCACAGAGAAGCCAGCCGCAGACTTAACAGGAGACGGTGTTCTTCCCGCGGGGCAGGCTGCCAAGGGTCCTGACCACCTTCTGCCTTGAGCTCCTGTGTTCTTCCCGCGGGGCAGGCTGCCAAGGGTCCTAACAACCTTCTGCCTTGAGTAATTGCTGCTTTTTGACTCACTGAGAAATTCTGCTCTCTAAAATTATAAATTCTCAGAAACTTTGCTGTCTGAAATTCTATCAGTAGAGAATGAACTGTCCCACTCCTGCCTGGAGCATCCCAATCTCCCTCCTGGCTGTGAGTCTGGACTACAGGTTTGCTCCTGGTGACTGCAGGCCGACTGGGCTGTCTCCTTCCGACGATACATAATGTTGATCCCTGGACACAAGACCTCACTCCAAAGACGAATGTGCCACTCATTGATTTTGAGATGCATTTCCAATGACATTTTACTTTTATAAATTGTCCATCAAAATGTATCACTTACTAGTTGTTTGGAACAACTGTGTACTACAAATTTCTGTAACAATAATTCAATCAACAGGAAATTTTTTTAAAGGAAATTGAAAAACATTCTATATTAATTCCAATGAGACTTTGTTGCAGTATGGCAGGATAATCAATACAAGATATTCAAGCATAAAATGTATCAGCATAAATCTTTGTGGCATAGTGAATGGAAATACAAGCTCTAAGAGAAAAAGGAAAGATGTGAAAGTTCCAACTGTGAAAAAGAAGGGCCTGGATGGGTATCAAACAGTCGTGATATTTAGATTTGGCTGGACACATTTTAAAAACCACGATAGGGCAGCTTTACTTTAAAATGTCAGTATTGGACCTTTGAGTTCACCCAGAAACGCCTCAGAAGAAAGGCCTGGCGATCTACTTCTGACAAGTCAGCCATTGAAAACCCTCTGGAGCACAGTTCTATTCTGACACACGTAGGGTCACCATGAGTCAGAATCAACTCCAGGGCAACTGATTTTGGTTATTTACTATACACAAGGAATCACATATTTTTCAACTCTGATGGGAAAAAAATCAGGTATCCAGTGTAAAAACGTGCAGAGGGTACAGGAACAAGAATGTCTAAAGCCCCTGTTCGACACACCTGTGCACTCTACCCCACCCCAGACCACTGTGTATATTCCTAGCCCGTTCATGTCACTTTTACTGGTTAACATAATTATATAAGTTAATTAAAAATGACGTAAACTGCAAAAATATAGCTGTTCAAAGAGGTTTACTTCTAGGAAAACCAGTTAAATTGCTTTGGGAAGACATAGTGAGGCACAAAAAAAAAACTCTGTTAAATTAGGTGGAACCCAAAAACAAGCCCACTGCTGTCCAGTCGATTCCAACTCACAGCGACCCTACAGGACAGAGTAGAACTGCCCCCTAGGGTTTCCAAGGAGGGGCTGGTGGATTCGGACTGCCAACCTTTTGCTTAGCAACCGAGCTCTTAACCACTGCACTACCAGGGCTCAAATTAGGTGTAGGTGACTACAAAAGATGAGGGGAAGACGTCACAGTTCTCTTTTTATAAGTTCTTGCTTCTAAAACAAACAAACAGAACAACTTACCAAAAACAAACAAAACGAAGAAGCAGCAACGGGAAAACACGCCAACCAGAAACTGCAATCCAGTGTTTTCCAAGACTTCCTGATGAAAAGAGGTAACTGCGTCACTTGCTAGGTGTACAGGTAACGAGTCCTCTCCCCCTGGAAATTCTGACTCAGCGTGGACAACTAACCTTCTCCCCCTGGAAATTCTGACTCAGGAAGTCTGATTTTTCTTGGTTTTGTTTTTGAAAATGAGGACTTGGGTGATTCTTCAGAAAATTTTGGTGAACACCGGGAGGATGTACTACAGGTATGGTTTACTGCAACAGAGGTGAACTCCAATCAACAGATCTCTACTCAAAGAAAAGGCCTCAGCTCTCCTAAATAGCAAATGACTGTACATCTACGCTTTAAAATAAAGTCTTTAAGGCACACGTGTGTCCTTTTGGTCATTCCTGCTTTAAGTGACTTTTTTGACTAACAGACCAACTAGGGGCCCTGAGGGCGTGGACTACGTGGCTTCAGTACCCACCCTTGATGGTCCCAGCCTATGGAGCTTTTGACTACCCTGTAAAATGAGCTCAACTGCAACTTCAAATAAGTGACTTCTCTGCACCCTTGATGAGTAAATATGCAGCTAAATCCATTTATAAAACAATTTTCTAGCTAAGATTTGTAACTTCTTTAGACTTCTAAACTCCACCAGCAGTAGCTTTCTTTGGGGGCCTTTCTTCACACATAAATATGTTACCCCATTATCTCACTAACGGCCTCTCCTGGGGCTCTCCTCCTGCCTCACCCCACTCCAGCCACGCTGACCTCCTTGCTGTCCCTCAAACCTCCCAGGCATGCTTTCCCCATGGGGACTTTGCTCCCAGAAAGCTCTTATGCCAGATTACCTCCTTGGTTAACTCCTTCACCTCCTTCAAGTCTTTGCTCAAATCTCTTGTCAATGAGGCTTGCCCTAAGTACACCACCTAACCCTCAGCCTGTCTGCTCCCACCCCAACTCTACCTTTGCTTTCTCACATAGCCACTGTCTGGGTTCTCCACAGGAGCAAAACCAGTGAAGCGTACACATACAGAGAGATTTATCTCAAGGAAATGGCTCATGTGGTTGTAGAGGATGGCAAGTCCCAAGTCCATGGGCATCAGGTTGGAGGCTTATCAGATAGCTGCAGGGACTGAGGAACCCAAGATTGGCAGGCAAGACAGCAGGCTGCTGGCTTACAGGCTGTGGAAAGCGATAAATCCCAAGATCGGCAGGAAACTCGGCAGGTCGCTGGCTCATATCCCAAGAATTGGCGGTCAGATGATGATGGGCTGCATGAAGGATCCAGAGAGCAAGCAAAAGCCAGAGAGCTTTGCCAGAACGTCCATATATATTGGAAGCAGGCCACATACCTGAGGAAACTCCCGTTACAACTGACTGGCTGATCACCTCAGATCACACCATGAAGGTGATTACATTATATCACAAAATGGAAGATGACTACATCCTCACATAACTGCCAAACCACTGAGATTTATAGCCCAGCCAAGATGATACACAACTTTAACCATTACAGCCATATTGCCTTTTAAGATCCCTGGGTGGCACAAACGGTTTCTGCTCAACTACTAACCTAAAGGTTGGTGGTTCAAACCTACCCAGCAGCACCATGGAAGAAAAGCCTGGTGATGTGCTTCCATAAAGTCCATAAAGATTACAGCCAAGAAAACTCTTTGGCGCGACTCTACTCTGTAACACACGGGTGGCCAAGAGCTGGGATCAACTCAACGGCAAGGGGTTTTGCTTTCGGTTTTGTCACCTAACATGCTATAGACGCTGCACGTTCATTATGCTTCTTGCTTACCATCGGCCACTGTCACCAGAATGGAATCTTCCCATGGTGGATTTTAATGTTGTTTATTGATATATCCTATCCTAAGCACCCAGAAGAAGGAGCCCTAGTGATGCAGTGGTTAAAGGGGTCGGCTGCTAACTGAAAAGTCAGCAGTTCGAACCCACCAGCCACTCCGCAGGAGAAAGATGTGGTAGTCGGCTTCCATAAAGACTACAGCCTTGGAAACTCTATGGGGCAGTTCTACTCTGTCCTGTAGGGTCACTGTGAGTAGGAATTGACTCGAGGGCAATGGGTTTGTCTGTGTTTGTTTAGAAGCACCTAGAACAATGCCTAGTACGTTATGTTACCTGCTGTCAAGTCAGCCCCCAACTCATGGTGACCCCATGCAAAACAAAATGAAATGCTGTGTCAGGCCTGCACCATCCCCATAATCAGCTGCAAAATGGACGATTGTGATCCATAGAGTTTTCATTGGCTGATTTTTGGAAGGAGATCACTAGGCCTTTCTTCCTAGTCTTAGTCTACAAGCTCTGCTAAAATCTGTTCAGCATCATAGCAACACACAAGCTTCCACTGACAGATGGGTGGTAGCTGCACATCAGGTACAAAGGCTGGGAATCAAATCCAGGTCTCCCGCACAGAAGGTGAGAATTCTACCACGAAACTACCATTGTCTAGTACCAGTTGATTCAACTCATAGCGACCCTACAGGACAGAGTAGAACTGCCCCACAGAGTTTCCAAGGAGCGCCTGGTGGATTTGAACTGCGGACCTTTTGGTTAGCAGCCGTAGCTCTTAACCACTATACCACCAGGGTTTCCGTTTGGTACAGAGTAGGTACTTAATATCTGTAGACTTCAATTGAATTCCAAAGTGCAGAGGTGTTACAGATGAACAGAGCAGAGCATGGTGGTCACAGGGCATGGAGGGCTCCAGGTGCCTGGCACACTCTGCTCACCAGCGCCCCCGCCCCCAGCGGCACAAATCCCTTACAGGCAAAGGACCCTCAGGGTTTTGTAACAGTCAAAACCTAGGAGTTTAATTCTGCAAATGCCTAGGGTCTACTGTAATAGAAGTGTTTTTTTAGAAATCATCCAAGACAATCATCAAGGAAGGGAAAAATGACACCAACGAAACTGGAGCTAATTAACACCCAGAAAATATTTATACATTTCAGTGGGAAGCAAATTCGATTACTCTGTTTCTAAATTGGAACTGGGACAAAGAATCTAACCAACTTGTGCAAGGTCTAAGGAGTCCTGTGAGAGCCGAGTTTCAAATGTAGGCAGCATCTCTGACTCCTGTTTAAGTAATCAAGAAAATCAGGCTAAAAGTAGCAGGAAATATTCCAATTTTCTTCTGTTTCAATAACCTAGAGCAGAATTGACTGATTTTTTCTGTAAACGTATTAAATATTTTACATTTTTTCAGGCCAGTCTCTGATGCACCCACTCAACTGCCAACGCAATACAAAGCAGTCACAGACAATACGTAACTGCAGGGCCATGACTGGGTTCCAGTACAACTTTATTTGCAAATACAGGTGGTGAGCAAATTTGACCCAGAGTCAGCAGTTTGCCAATCCCTGACCTAGAGGAAAATTCAACCAAAATCTGTTAAGAGTGAGGTGTAAGAGAAAATTCTGCCACTGCTCACCTGTGTGTTTGAACAAGCCCTTCAATCGCTGTGAGTATCCCCATTTGAAAAAATGAAAGGATGATTAACGGTATTCCTTCTAAATGTCAGCTTTGACGACTCTCTGATACAAGCGTCGCTGGCTTCACTGGTCAGTTATACCCATCTGGGAAATTCTCTGAACTAGCGGCACAGGCAGCCTTAGCTGCTCCCCAAATAAGTCCTCAAATCAATGGAGGTTCATGTGGCAGGTGCTGGTCCGTGAGTACCTGTCAACTCAATGAGTTCCTAACCAGCAGGTAGCCTGTTTGTCTGAACAGAAGCATCACAGGTTTTCAGGACAACATGAAGACGAAAATTTTTGGTTGAAGAAGATATATACAGCAGCTGAAGCAAATCTGTGGCTTTAGGAGACTTGACTTCTGTGATGATATACATTACGTGGCAAGACTCTTCTTAACTTGCAGGAAAACTACCAAGTTCCTTTCACATGAAGCCATGACTACCATGTGCAATGGGTGCCTGGCATCTGCTACTCAGTCCATAGCCCAAGAGACAGAGACCAGCTCTTATCTTTGGTTGTGGAAATCCTCGAGTTTTCCGCATCTGTGTCGTTGTTGTTAGCTGCTTTTGAATCGGTTCCGACTCATAGCAACCCTTATAACAGAACGAAACACTGCCCGGTCCCGTGCCATCCTCACAATCGATGCTATCTTTGAGCCCACTGTTGCAGCCACTGTGTCAATCCATCTCCTTAAGGATCTTCCTCTTTTTTGCTGACCCTCTACTTCACCAAACATGATGTCCTTCTCCAGGGACTGGTCCCTCCTGATAACATGTCCAAAGTACATGAGATGAAGTCTCACCATCCTCACTTCTAAGGAGCTTTCTGGCCGGACTTTTCCAAGATAGATTTGTTCATTCTTCTGGTAGCCCACGGTATATTCAGTATTCTTTGCCGACACCATAATTCAAAGGCATCAACTCTTCTTCAGTCTTCCTCGTTCATTGTCCAGCTTTTGCAGGCATGTGAGGCGACAGAAAATACCATAGCTTGAGTCACGAGTATCTTAGTCCTCAAGGTGACGTCTTTGCTTTTTAACACTTGAAAGAGATCTTTTGCAGCAGATTTGCCCAATGCAATATGTCGTTTGACTTCTTGACTGCTGCTTCCCTAGGCGCTGACGGTGGCTCTAAGTAAAAGGAAATCCTTGACAACTTCAATCTTTTCTCCGTTTATCATGATGTTGCTTATCAGTCCAGTTGTGAGGATTTTTCTTTCTTTATGTTGAGGTGTAATCCACACTGAAGGCTGTGGTCTTTGATCTTCATCAGTAAGTGCTTCAAGTCCTCTCCGCTTTCAGCAAGCAAGGTTGTGTCATCTGCATAACACAGGTTGCTAATGCGCCTTCCTCCAATCCTGATGCCCCGTTCTTCTTCATATAGTCCAGTTTCTTGGATTATTTGCTCAGCATACAGATTGAGTAAGTATGGTGAAAGGATACGACCCTGACACACACCTTTCCTGATTTTAAACCACACAATATCCCCTTGTTGTGTTCAAACAACTGCCTCTTAGTCTATGTACAGATTCCCCATGAGCACAATTAACTGTTCTGGAATTCCCATTGTTGGCAATGTTATTCATAATTTGTTATGATCCACACAGTTGAATGCCTTTGCATAGTCAATAAAACACAGGAAAACATCTTTCTGGTATTCTCTGTTTTCAGCCAGGATCCATCTGACATCAGCAATGATATCCCTCATTCCAAATCCTCTTCTGAACTCAGCTTGAATTTGTGGTAGTTCCCTGTTGATATACTGCTGCAACCGCTTTTGAATTATCTTCAGCATAATTTTACTTATTTGTGATATCAAAGATATTGTTCAATAATTTCCACATTCTGTTGGATCATCTTTCTTTGGAATGAGCGGAAATATGGATTTCTTCCAGTCAGTTGGCCAGGTAGCTGTCTTCCACATTTCTTGGCATAGACGAGTGAGTGCTTCCAGCGCTGCATCCATTTGTTGAAACATCTTAGCTGGTGTTCCGTCAACTCCTGGAGACTTGTTTTTCGCCAATGCTTTCAGTGCAGGCTGGCCATCCTCCTTCAATACCATCGGTTCTTGGTCATATGCTGCCTCCTGCAATGGTTGACCGTTGACCAATTCTTTTTGGTACAGTGGCTCTGGGTATTTCTTCCACCTTCTTCCGATGTTTCCTGCATCGTTCCATATTTTGCCCGTACCAAAACCCAAAGTCATTGCCGTTCAGTCAATTCTGACACATAGTGACCCTAAAGAACAGAGTAGAACTGCCCAATAGTGTTTTTAAGGTTGTAATCTTTACGGAAGCAGACTGTCACATTTTTCTTCCATGGAACGGCTGGTGGATTCAAACCGCCAGTCTTTTGGTTAGCAGCTGAGTGCTTAACCACTGCGCCCCCAGGGATCCTTTCAGGTTTGCATACGAGGCGGTACTGACCAAGGAATAACTAAAGCGACTGTGAAAAGAGCAGGATGAAAGCCAGCTAAGCCGCCCTGAAGAGAACTATATTTCAGCGTGTCTGAGTACAGCCTGTGGCATATTCTGGATCCCTGGAAGACTGGTGGCGTGCTGCCCTCCTGGCTACACATCAGAATCATCTAGGAAGCTTCGGGAAATCCTGCTGCCCAGGCTGCACCTCAGACAAATTACATCAGAGTCTCGTGAAGGGGAACTCAGGCTTCAGTATTTTTAAAATATGCAGCCAAGGTTGAAAACCACTGATTAAAGTCATGGCAAGAAAATTTGGTGGAGTTATATGTTTTCTCTACTATGCCTATTTATTAGTTATTTACATCCTACCTTATTCCAGAAAGGAATTAAAGAGACTTATAAGGATACATAAACAAAATTAAAAGTGGAGACAAAAAAGCAGGGGTGAATAGCTCCTCCAGTACTAATAAACCCACGTTGACCAAGTTTTGAACATCTCTCCTTCACACTTATTTTTTTTATACAGTCAAATTTCAAGAAACAATTTGGACAGGCTTCTGTTGCTTGTGTGTTTGTGAAGTGTATTTCTCTTCAGTAGGCTTCCATTTTGCATTTCACTTGCTCTGCAACTCCTGATTCTTCTTCTTTTTTAAGTTGCAAAGAACTTTTTTTTTTTTGCCATGTTAACCAACTTTTTTTTATTATTATTATTATTGTACTTTAGATGACAATGTTCCGCTGCTATTTATAAGGCTTTCACCGGCTAATTCTTCTCAGAAATACACTGCCGGGTCCTTCTTCCTAGTCTGCCTTAGTCTGGAAGCTCAGCTGAAACCTGTCCGCCACGGGTGACCATGCTGCTATCTGAATACCAGTGACACAGCTTCCAGCATCACAGCAACACGCAAGCCTCCACAGTACGACAAACTGACAGACATGCAGGCTGGGTTCAGAAGAGGACGGGGAACCAGGGATACCATGGATATCATCTGATATCACTGCTGATTTCAGATGGATCCTGGCTGAAAGCAGAGAATACCAGAAAGATGGCTACCTGTGTTTTATTGACTATGCAAAGGCATTCGACTGTGTGGATCATAACAAATGATGGATAACATTGAGAACAATGGGAATTCCAGAACACTTAATTGTGTTCGTGACAGGAATCTGTACATAGATCAAGAGGCAGTCATTCAGACAGAACAAGGGGATACTGCATGGTTTAAAATCAGGAAAAGTGTGCGTCAGGGTTGTATCTTTTTACCATATTTATTCAATCGTATGCTGAGCGAACAATCCGAGAAGCTGGACTATATGAAGAAGAACAGGGCATCAGGATTGGAGGAAGACGCATTAACAACCTGCATTATGCAGATGACACAACCTTGCTTGCTGAAAGTAAAGAGGACTTGAAGCACTTACTGATGAAGATCAAAGATCACAGTCTTCAGTATGGATTATACCTCAACATAAAGAAAATAAAAATCCTCACAACGGGACCAATAAGTAACATCATGATAAAGAGAGGAAAGATGGAATTTGTCAAGGATTTCATTTTACTTTGATCCACAGTCAACACCCATGGAAGCAGCAGTCAAGAAATCGAAAGACGCATTGCATTGGGCAAATCTGCTGCAAAAGACCTCTTTAAAGTGTTGAAAAGCAAAGATGTCACCTTGAAGACTAAGGTGCGCCTGACCCAAGCCATGGTGTTTTCAATCACCTCATATGCATGTGAAAGGTGGACAATGAATAAGGAAGACTGAAGAGGAATCGATGCCTTTGAATTGTGGTGTTGGCGAAGAATATTGAATATACCATGGACTGCCAAAAGAACAAACAAATCTGTCTTGGAAGTACAGCCAGAATGCTCCTTAGAAGCAAGAATGGCGAGACTTTGTCTCACATACTTTGGACATGTTATCAGAAGGGATCAGACCCTGGAGAAGGACATCATGCTTGGTAAAGTAGAGGGTCAGCGAAAAAGAGGAAGACCCTCAACGAGATGGACTGACACAGTGGCTGCAACAATGGGCTCAAGCAGAACTACAACTGTGAGCATGACACAGGACCGGGCAGTGTTTCGCTCTGTGGTACATAGGGTCGCTACGAGTCGCAATCGACTCGATGGCACCTGACAACAACCTGCCTTCTAGTCCTTGCCCCTGGGCTGGTGTGCCCCTTTAGTCTCGTGTTGTTTTATGGGCCTGCCTAAACTTTGGCTGAAGGGTGAACCTCAGGAGTGACTTCATTACTGAGCTAAAAGGGTGTCTGGGGGCTATACTCTCAGGGCTTCTCCAGTCTGTCAGGCCAGTAAGTCTGGTCTTTTTTTGTGCATTAGAATTTTGTTCTATATTTTTCTCCAGCTCTGTCTGGGACCCTCTATAGTGCTCTCGTCAGAGCAATCAGTGGTGGTAGCTGGGCACCATCTAGTTCTACTGGACTCAGTCTGGTGGAGGCTGAGGTAGTTTTTTTTTTTTTTTCTCTATTATAAAGTT